TGCGACCACAGAAAAACCCACTCTTTCTGTGCTTATCTCCAAATAATGAACATTTGATGAAATAGATCACTCCTGACACCATACATTCACCCTCTCTGCTATCCGTGCATACTACAGAACTCGGGTCCAAACAAGTGAGGGTCATATATACTCTCCATCTCGCTTGGAGTGACTGGGCTGCTCGGATCCCGCGCAGCCTCACTTGGACCCTGCGCAGCGTTCACGAACATGTCGTCTAATCATATTTGCAGGTTCGTGGGAAAGAGCTCGCAAGCGAGGTTCGATCGCTAATCAGGGTAGGGAATTGGTCAGAGAACCCGCTCGCGAATGCGATGCATGCCCAATCGAGCGGTCGCGCGGGACGAGCTGCTTTATAGACTTTCAAGTGAAAGGTTACGCCATCTGTGGGATCATTTGCTAAATGTTGATTCGTAAGCAAATCGAAAATTTATTTTGAGTCATTTATGGCTAATTCACAAAGCTTAATCGAGATCAGTGAAAACTAATATGATCGCTTCAGAAGCATTTCTCTGAACGTTCGTATCACTTTAACACAATATCTGAAGATATAGGTTATCAGGTTTGGTATTCACCTGTTGACATAGCATTCTCTCTCTCACCTTTTCTTGAAACTGGGTCTCTTCAGGTAGCTCTGCTTCAATGGATGCAACATAATGATGTCGCTACGATAAAATTCTGGTGAATTGCTCAGGTTCAGATGAGAAACGAGACTTATCTTACTTCTTGGCGGTCTGAATAATCAGCTTTCGAACATGTGCAGGAAACATCCAGTAGAACCAGTGAAGTGAATAAAACGAAAGATGGTTGCATAGGAAATGGCACTTCTAACAAGAAAAGGACCCTCAGAGTGAGGTTTCCGCACGTGATGCATATCATTCTGCTGGTCTTGGAGTACTAATACCAGATCCGTGTTTCTAAGCTCCAATGATCTTCTGGGAAAAGGGGCAACGGTTCTCCACAATGACTGCTGTACATTATAGTCTGAGGCTCAAAGAATGTACAGGTGTGGACGGATGGGCGGATGGATAGCTGCGGAGCCTAGAGTGCAGGTGATGAACAGTTCGCGTCCCTATGGAGCCAACTTTGTGTTTTTGCAAAATGTATTTTGTGAATTTGCAGGCGACTTTCGAGCAAGCAGACCCTCGTCGAAAATCGCCTGCGAATTCACAAATACGACTTGCAAAAATACAAAGTTTGGCTCCATACTCAGACGATCAGAGGCTCTCAGCCGGCCCCACCAAAAGCGCCGTTGCCTTATCGCCGCCACTTTTCGCTTCCCGCTGAGAAACTTTGCTAGACCTGGCAACGAGCGGGCTGCCATAAAGTCTTCAGCGCGAAGCAAAAGTGGCGGCCATGCCTTTTCGCCGCCACCTTCGCTTCGCGCTGAAGACTTTATGGCAGCCCGCTCGCGAGTTCTAGCAAAGTTTCTCAGCGGGAAGCGAAAAATGGCGGCGATAAGGCAGCGGCGCTTTTGGTGCGGCCGGTTGAGAGCTTTGATTGTCTGGATAGGGACGCGAACACATCACCACCTACGCCATAGTCTCCGCAGCTATCCACCCGCCTATCCGTCCACACCTGTACATTCCTTGGCGCCCCGAACCTATATGTGCAGTGCATCGTGAAGAACCGTTGCTCATAACGTTTATCAAAAGATCATTGAGCAGCCAAGGAGCACGGATCCGGTACTGGTGCCCTAAGACCAGCAGAATGATATGCATCACGGTGGAAACCGCACTTCGACTGAGGGTCCCTCTCTTGTAAGAAGTGAGACTCTCACCACATTTGCTTACTATGAGAATGCTTTGCTGATATATAGAGTCCATGTAGTAACGAAAGCGTATCCCGGGCAATGCAATCACGCACCTACGCTACTGTATGCTAGCATGGAGGGACCATGCTGCGTACAACATCGCCGCCTATATCACTATTGTTGTGTTGTCATTCTTTTCATTTTCGTGGTGAATGGTTTGCCATTTTCTGTACTTCCTTTCGAGGAATTTAGGTTGGTTTACTTGCCTGTCAAGATTTCGCCGTATCAGTTTTCAAATAGTCACATTTTGGGTGTGTGTACAGCACCTGCTCATATAGCAAAATTCACATTGCAATTGAGAGAACGACAGATGTAGTTCTCCATTATTCTCTGAGCTTGTTACCTAAGCATTAGAAGCACCGCAAGAGATTCCTGTGGTCGTATTCATCAACAAACCCAGTGGGTAGGGTAGGCTTAACTCACGAGATCAGTATTCACAAAGCCAGTGGGTTCCGGAACTAAATGGGTTAAGCCTACCCAGTGGGTTCCCAGAACCCACAAAAAGCCACTGAACCGGTATTCACAAACGAACCCAGTGGGTTCGCGAACAAAAAGCCGAGCACACCGGTACTCACGAAACAAATAACCCACATCTTGTGGGTTCCGGATCCCACCGAGTGCTGGGTTAGCAAACCCAAGCAATGGAGCAGTTCTCTCAATGGGTAACATGCGAACAGTCCCTTTGCTGAATGTCATGAAATTTTGTGAGAGCGATAGTTACTATCAGCAATACTAAGTACTAAAAACACCTACCTGTTCAAGCTTTTGAATTTTCCCACTAAGGGGCTTGCTAATCTTAGTTGCCAACCACGACTTGAAAATTTCGGAAAAAGTCACCAACAAGTTTTTCCGATGGAAATTTATGGTGTCAATTTGTAAAGGGGTCTAACACTTTGCGATGTTAGCTAATTACTATAGAAAAAATCTCGGAATTCTCGATATTTAAGAATTTGCACGAAACTTGAAGAGTAAGATACTTTGCCGTTTATCAATATTTTTGCACATTTTGAGCTAGGGGAAAATTCTATAAGTGTAAGCAAGCGCGCTCATTACGGAATTACAAGCGATGGTGAGAGAGCGATTGTTGCCATAGCAACAAACTAGTAGTTCCCCAATAAATAGATAGCGAAGTAAAAAATCCACGCTTGGAAGAAGTCCATAAAAGAAAATTCATGCAAGCTTATGTTTTTGCGTGCTTTTGTTTATTTTTTATTTTGACGCCTAACTCAAAAACGATGACGGTTTGACTTGAACCAAGAAAGTAGGAATAATTATGACAAAAATCAAGCCGAAAAGGACTTAAGTGATTCCTGCAAATATGCACTTTGTCACGGTCGATGAAAATTCTGTTTGAAAGTGGGAGTTCGAAAAGACATAGATTTACTTGTCATGTATAGCAAAATCATCGTTAGGATGAAACTAAGCTACTCTTTGCGCCATGACAATTAATTCGAACTACGCAGATTCGCTAATGTCTGCTATGTCGTGTACATCGAAGACCGTGGCTAATTCTTCCTTATGGGGTACAAGAAACTTTGAACAAAAAAAATCATGTGTACAAATAAAAAATATTCCCATTTTGCATCTCTTTCCACACGCATTATAGCCAACAGTCACGTGAGGGGTCATAGCCAAGTGAGACTACCATATGCTAGAGAATACTTGAATAAAGAATAGAACTAGTAGTGCAAGTTTTGTTGCACAAAACACATTGATTGATGTTATTTCTTCCGAACATATGAGTTCCGAAAAGTGTGTCAAGCGTGCAGGCGCTTTTGGGTTAGCGCGATTCGTGTGGGTCGAGAGATGAGAAAATAGTACACAGATCAGAGAGGCACATTGCTGACGTAAGGAGTTAGCTAATCCAGTGGAGCACTGTGAATGCCGATTTTGTTCAGTGGGTTCGCGGACCTAGGAAACTCACTAGGTTCCTTGATGAATATGGCGACTGATCTTCGTTGTACTTGTTCATAATGCATTCATAATGCAAGAGACTCAAACCATATGCAGTGCCGCTTAATTTGCACAAAAAAGCTACCGAACTTCACCGCAGTTCAAAAGTTTACGTCACATCGCCATATTTCAGTTCAACGCTGATAATTTTCGAGTTGAAACAGTATCCGGGCGAAAAGTCGACTTTGAGATTTTTTGCTTACCCGGGCCTCTTCGTTATGTTGTATCCGAAAATTAACACTAGAGAGCGCGAAGATGGAAAAACTGCTCTAACGCAGGAGGGAAGTCAGCAAGTAGACGGGAGTCTTCCACTCTGTGAGGTCACCGTTCCACTTCCGGAGTGATCTTCTCGGTTCCCACTTCATGTCAGCATTCGCACTTAGCCGGTGGCGATTTAGGGCGGAAATAAAAAGATCACTCTTGATTTGGAAGAGTGACTTCACAGAGTAGAAGGCCCCGCCCACTTGTTAATTACCCATCTGCGTTATAGCCTTTTCTCGCCGTTCTGACGCTCTCCACTGTTGATTTTCGGATTAGCAAATAGGCCCCATGAACTACCTCTGACTCAGTAACGGAGTCGTCGGTTCGAATAACCTGCACCGCTCCGCACGTATCCTCTGAGAACTTCTTGCGCCTGCCAACCTGGTGCTGGGCTCGCGGCAACACCAGGCTGACAGGCGACACTTCTCTCGGCAGAAGGATAGGATCACCGACACTAAAGAGCTTTATAGACTTCTTCGTTTGCGCGATGATCCGATATGTAGATATTGAGCTTAAAGGCAGCGTTTCGGCAAAAATTCGTTCTCCGGCTTTTCATCTCTTCGGAGCCTTCCCGCCATGCTAAAGCCACATCTGAGCTTTTCAGCGCTTGAAAATGGCAAAGGCAAGTTTTTTTTTTCGAGAAACTCTTCATGTCGGCGTTTGCTCCAAATTACGTGTAAGAAGTGGACGGAGCCTAGAAATGGGCGGGGTCCGGAATCCTTCTGAACCGGATTTTGTGCTTTCCAAAAACGCTTTTTTGTTCCAGGCTTCAGTGATGGATCAGCTGGAGAGTTTATAATTGTTTTACTGTAAAATCCCGGCACCCATCATTTTGAGGGGACGCTGTTTTTGAATCTAGGCTTTAAGGGGAGAGCTGCAAACTCTCAAGCCGTTTACACGTGACAAACAACAATGGTTAGTTTTTCAACTCACATCAATGAAAAAAGTTATGCCCTTACGCAATATGTTTGACAGCACCAAGAAATTTGATTACGGCAATCGCTTTGAACACTCCAGCTTCGAACATGATTTGCATCAGATCGGCAAAGAAATGAATCTCTGTTGACGGAACGTAGAAACTGAAAGTATCACCTCATAATTGATCGTAATTACTGTCTAAGTTTTATGGTGAGATTTATACAGAAGCAGGAGATTAACATTGGTAGCCCCAACTTTTGTTTTTTCCTGGGTGAAAGTTTGAACTCTTTTGAACGTCGGAGTGAATTCACATCGCTCTATGTATCGAAGATGTACGAGCTCAACAAGGGAAAGAAATTTGGTTGAAGAGGCCTTTGAGATAATATGCATACCCTCTTGTAGGACCTACTCAATACCAGCAAACTATATATCATATCTAAGCTTTTGACCTCTAGTTCCACGCTGACAACGCCGCAAAACTCCACTTTTTGATTTGAATGAGAAATCTTGCAAAAACCATGTTTTCGAAAATTTCTTTTTTCTTTAGTTTAGTTCTTTTCAAGCGGTTTTTTCGTCCATTCGATAAACCTTGCTTCTGTTCATATAGACAACGTCGAGGTTCTAACTCCTTCAATTATGGTGAAATATCTGGCAGAGAGCTGCAAAAAACGCGTCTTTGTTCATAGGCCTTTATGCGAGTCAGTAAGCGACAGTTTTTTACACGCTTGTTTTGAAAGCTTGGAGGCATTTTGCTCAGGATTGCGAGCATAGCAAAGCTGACAACGTCGCCAGAAACAGAACCACGAAAGGAGGATAAAAATCCAAAGGACGCAGCAAAACCTGGATTGTCTTTGAGGTGCATTTCGACTTGGGAAAAACAAAACTTTACATTTTCATAGCTGATTATTTTCTCCTTTAATTTTTCTTAATAATGATCACTTTTGAAATATTGTGTTCTCCAAAACTGTCACAAAAGAGAAACTAGCTTCCGCTCATTTTCCCCCGCGTTGTGGATTGCCTGGTCTTGGAACGCAAACCTGCGATTCGAAATTCCGCCAAATGAAAATTTTAAACTGTTGCAGCATTTTTATCAGGTTTTCAGAAGTTTCTTTCACTTTTGCTATCTGTTTTGCATATCTCTAAACTAGGTATGACCCAGACTACTAGTGAGAGTTGAGTTGAGTGTGTGGCTCTGAATGACCAAAAGCAAACCGTAGCTTACTTCGAAGTAAAGATAATCAAGTTAGGCAGCCCCACACAGCCACCATGCCCTTTCTCACCTGTGCCTGACAAAGTCACTAATTTTTGTCACAGTAGGATATGGTCCCAAATTGTTTGTTGGGCACTTTCCCCATGAGAGGCCTTATACAGGTTCAATTTACTATGAACTTGCTGTTGTACCATATACACGCGTACGATGTCAGATGTTCGGCATTACATCTTTGCAAAAAGATCATGAAATCTCACTAGGAGGTGGCGAGAAGGTAGAAGGGAAAACATTTTGTTTCGGTGGCATAAAGACAAATTTGTTTCAAGTATTAGTGCCTTAAAAGTAGTGTCCCAACAGACTGGGGGTATCTGGCTCTTGTAGTAATGTAATAGGAGACCCCCTACTTAAGCTTAGACTGGAGTTCGGAGCGAAAAAGGGGGTCTACCAAGCCTGAAATTTGCTCCGAAAGTGCCCGAATCTTACGGTAGGCTCGAGCGAGTACGAGATGGATGCAAGGCAGAGACGCAGAGTCGTTGCGGGACCCTACGCTGGTGACTGTGTGCGCTATGCGTGCTCTGGCCTTGCACTCAGACACTCGCGGTTAAGTCCCGCAGGAGATCCGCCCACAAAATGAGAAATCGCGAGAAAATCGGGACTCTTGCGCGACACCCGGTTTTGTCCCGACTTACGGGATTATCCCGGCAGAATTGAAGCGGGAGATTATAGGGGTCGCGATTTCGGAGCGCGCTCCCAGTGTCTGAGCGTAAAGGATACTTGCGTAAAATACGACGCATGGTCAGACTGCCCTCAACCAGGGTCAAGCGTGTTGATGCGATCCGGGACCCTCATTTACGACCCCCCCCCCCTTGAAGGTACCCATCCGTACGACCCTCACCCCCCCTTCCGCTCCCCGCCCCCTCCCTCATCTATCTCCCTTACCTCCCCTGCCCACATTCCTCGCGGTAACCTGCATAAACAAATGTCAATCTCAAAAAGCACCTGCGTGAGAACTTCAGTGAGGTTTTGGAAGCAGAATTTCTAGGCCAATGGGTGCGCTCAGCATCTCTAACACATATACACACCTTCAATAATGTTTGAGAATCTGCAAGTTTTTTTTTTGAATTTTCAGGCATACTTCAGACCAGCAAATTCGATTCCCGTAGGCGACACAAATCTTTGCACAAAGAAAAAAACGACATTTTTGAATTAAAAGATGTTTTCGACTAAGAAGCTTACTTCCTACCTCTTCCACAGTTTTTCCCGCGAATGAAATCGCTTGAGCGCCGTCCGGAACGACGTCAAAAACGTGCATGAGCACGTTAGTTTGAAAATTCGTAACTAAGGCCAGGAAAAGACTGAGAGGCTGCAAAGCACAGGTTCTGTAGTATAGTGCCCAGACTATCCACAGAAAAAGTTTCAGCTCTTGAGGAGGAGTGAGCTCGAAAAAATTTAGATGCGACTCTCGCAAATTTAGATGCGATCCTAAAAAGCAAAAACTGTGATTTTTGAGCTTAAAATTTTGTAACTTACCAGAGAAGTTATAAAACAGCTTGCAATTTTTATGAGGGAAAGTAGGAGGATGGCCTCATATTATAGCAGAATTGCAGCCAACAAGCTTCAATAGCTCCGAAGAAATTTAGATGCGACCCAGATACGACCCCCCTTTCCTGATTTTTTGCTACCATACATAAAATTATAAGAAAATCTACAGTTGACAAAATTACACCAAATTTTGCACTTATGTCGCGGAGCATCTCCAAAGTACAGATAAATCATATGGGCCCGTGAAAAACATTATAAAAAGATTTAGAAATTCATGATGGTTACAGCTGGTAAAGATATTCGCTTTTGTCGAGTGTGTGAGACTTCGGGAGGGCTTCAGAAGCAAGATTTCTAGGGCAATCGGTACATTTAGCATTTTTATCAAATCATACATCCTTCAAAAGTGTTTTGAGCTCTTGTAAATGTTTTTTTGAGAATTTCTACAGATTTTTTATCTTTTTTATTCTAATTTCCCTTTTTTATAGATTTATGTCAAAAAACATAACTAAATCTGCTTTTTGATTCCCTTTTGAGCTTAAGGTATTTTAGCCTAACTTCCTCCTCTTACGACCCCCCCCCCCCCCCCACCTTAGGTACCCTCTTTACGACCCCTCGTTCCGACAGTCGCATCACAAGCTTGACCCTGCCCTCAACGTCCACAACTTTGGATGTGTTCCAAATTTTACAGGCAGGAACACTGTCAATATGTTGTCTAACGGACAACCTTGGATAGGATCTTGGCGTTATCCAATTTTGATCTCGGAATTGGTTTCCGAACTGCTGTACGGTGGCTCCAATTGATTTTTGTATATGAGCGGGAGTCCCGCCGGTGATTGGATCGCGACATTATCGGGACTCCCGTAGGAGCTCCCGGTTTTCTCACAAGGAGGATGATCGGTCGAAGTGGCCATTTGGAATGAGCTGTATATTAGGAAACCGTCCTCGGTAAGGCAAACTCAAAACTACTTTTGCTAGGTGCCGAGCGGTTTTGTGGGGGGAGTTACAAGGCCATTTTCCTCCGGCGCAGCCGGCGCACCCAGTGATGAGCGAGACGCTAGAAGTCGCAGCAGTGTAGCGGTGGTGCAGTGGCAAGACAGCGGACCACGAAGCAAATGGTCGAGGGTTCGAGTCCTGTTGCTGCTACTTTGTTTTGCAGTTCTGTAATAAGTCTATTGGATGACAGTAAACGAAAAATACTCATTTCTAGGCAGTTGAAACAAGCTATTTACTGCAAAAAAGTCACTATTTCTACAATAAGCTATGATCTTCTACAATATGTAAATCTGTGGAGGTTATGATGTCATAACAAGGGATTCAAATGATATATTAACATGTATGGAATACACCACAAATTGCTCAAAGCAGAAGAGCTTCTCGCACCGCGCACTTCGGATAAAATATAAACGATGACAGTCAGCAGCTTCAGAATTGCCTATCAAAGTCGGTGAAAAACACTGAAGGCCGGGATGGTTATCAATTTTTCCGGCTGCATGCCATGGTGAATCGCGGCGAGCAAAACTGCGTGTAAATGAGCGATAAGATCTTAAGGATTAAATCCCTATTATGCAAGGTAAAGTTCAGATCGAGAGCCAATACATGGGAGGATGTAAATCGATTGCAATTTTGCAAGTGAGCGCGCTGCGAGAAGCTCTTCCGCTTTGAGCATTTTGTGGTTATATTCCATACATGTTAATATATTATTTGAATCCCTTGTTGTGACGTCATAACCTCCACAGATTTACATATTGTAGAAGATTATAACTTATTGTAGAAATAGCGACTTTTTTGCAGTTAGCTCGTTTCAACTGCCTAAAAATGAGTATTTTTCGTTTACTGTCATCCAATAGACTTTTACAGAACTGCAAAACAAAATAGCAGCAACAGGACTCGAACCCTCGACCATTTGCTTCGTGGTCCGCTGTCTTGCCACTGCACCACCGCCACACTACACTGCGGCGTTGTTTCAGCTCCTCGCTCATCACTGGGTGCGCCGGCTGCTCGGGAGGAAAATGGTCTGGCAACTACCCCCACAAAACCGCTCGGCACCTAGCGAAAGTAGTTTTGAGTTTGTCTTACCGAGGACGGTTTCCTTATATGCAGCTCGTTCAAAATGGCCACTTCGACCGATCATCCTTCCCTTGTCAGTAGAAAACATTTCGGGACAAAAGCGCGCGTCGCGCAGTATTTTCCTGAACGAAATGCAGGAGTCCCGGTTTTCTCGCGAAGCATTTCACTTGAGTCCCGCAGTCATTCCGTCGGGACACAACTTTTTTACCGGCGGGACTTAACCGCGAATGTCTGAGCAGTCCGAAATCGCTGTGCGGGCGGCATCCGGGCCTACCGTAAGATTCGGGCCACCGGAGCAAATTTCAGGCTTGGTAGACCCCCTTTTTTGCTCCGAACTTCAGTCATCGCTTGGGTAGGGGGTCTACTGTTACATTATTACGAGAGCCAAACACCCCCAGTCTGGTGGGACAACACTGCCTTTAAGCTTGACCATGAGCACAACTTAACTCCTATCCAACCTCATAAACCATTCAACAAATCGGTGTTTGCTAAAACGCTTCTTTTGTCATTTCAGGTGATAATATGAGTCATCAGCAGACAACTAACTTCGCTCTCGTGCTTTTCAAGTTCTAGAAAATTGGGTGATTCCACTTCGAATACTATGAGAAACTTACAAGTCGCTAGCAGCGTAGGCATCTGTTGAGATCAAAAAATCAAGCGCATTTGTGGTATTTTGATGTCTGCGGACCTGAATACAACAATAGTCATGTTGAAAGAACGGAAAGTATAATGTCAAACCTTTTCCTCATATTCGTCGCGAAGATTTTGCACGGTTTCGAACTCTCTGTAATTTTCTGTTAACAACTTTATGGCCCTTTCAAGCGCTGGAGTGCCTAAATAATGGGTGAAGTAATTTTTGGTATCTATCCTAGTACTGAACATCGATTTCAAATTATAATGTTCTGAGATGTGACATTGGTACCGAAAAAACCTTGTTGCTTTAATTGCTTTGCTTTGAGAAATTTCTTTCAAGTTGAATGCTTTTTGAATTTCCTTTGAAAATTTTGTTTCAAAAGAAGAACTATTCTTTATATTAGGTTGTAAAGAAAGTTCCCGGGCACTTGCGAAATTTATTTTCAAATCGCTGTAACTTCAAGCAGATTGATTCTTTTCTAAAGCTCCAAACATCATTGCAAAGACAATTTTGTCCACAACATATATTTGTCTTGCTGGCTTCCCAGCACCTCACTGCGGTCCACCAGCATGCGCAAAAGGGAAAAAGGTCGTTGCGAAAAGTGGCCTATTTGCGCAGGATTATCTCATGCAGGAAGAGAGCTGGAAAGCTCAGATGTTGTAATTATATAGAGTTCTGCCGGGGCTGTTATGGGGACCATTCATGTTTTTGAAGGACTCCCTGCAAAAAAATTTTCCCCAGAAAGTTTGAAAAATCGACCATTTTTTGCCCCCAAAAATGTACCATTTTCCGAGTAAGTTGCTTTGAAGTCTTCTCGTTCTGCACAGGGCTGACCAAAAACTTTGATTACTGCGAATCTTGTTGGGGTAATGCCTTACACTTCTTTTGGACCCATCACCCAGGCGTGGCGATCCCCGCAGAAGCGACGCCAGCTGCGAAAAGAAATGCATTCAGTTGCAAGTTCGACGGCTTGTAACTTCTGAGCACATATCGCCAAACTCGAGTGCAGCTGCGGGTCAGTAGTCAACAGTCTTCTCAATCAGATCACCCATAATTTGGACGAAATTCTGTGAACTGCGCAAAAAAATGGCCGCAGAAAGAAAAATTGTGAAATTTTTATGGTTGGAAAGGTTTACTTTTTTGGTGTGCAGATCAGTCACGTTTTGGCATCGATAAAAATCAAAAGCGGTTTTGAAAAGTTTAGGCTTCCCTCTACTGAACGATGTTATACCGCATGGTGCTGTTAGGTAATGTGCGGAATGGTGCAGTAGACACCTTAAACAACTCGGGCTAATGAAAAAAAAGAGGGCCTCACTCGTGTAATTAGGGTGTTAGTAAGAAACGAAGTCCCTCAATCCCAATTTGAAAAAAGTGAAGACATACAAGGAACACTTTTTGCTTGTACAAATCACAGTTTTTCAGCAGTCTGATATTTCTTTTTTGTTGACGTTACTGTGATAATGGAGAGCATTTGGTGTTTCTATTTATTTCCTGATTCTGTTGGTTGTGACATTTATCACTATGCTTATAAAGACCACTTCTGGTTAAAATTCCGGTAAACCAGATATTCGAGAAAATGGCGGAACTTGAAAAAGAAAATGGAAAGGTAGAACTTAATGAACAACGTACCTACCGTTCCATTGTACCAGCCTATGTCCTTAAGTTTTCTGAAGCCAATCTGATGATAAGCTAGATCCAGATTTATCTCATGCCAGAAGTTAAAGACTAGATCGTCAGCGCTGACAAAGTATCCTTGAAATTGCCTATATAAGTCACTGAGATACCATTGTCGCTCACAGACCTTTAACATTACGCAACCTCATCTCTGCTACCTTCGTCAGGCAAAAGTATAGGTATACACCACGCACCATTTCTTCAGGATGCACGTTGACGAAACTAAATGCTTCCTTAGTTGGTGGGTAACCTCAAACTAATGTACTTTCATGGCTTATCTTTTTAGTTGTGGTCACCTTCTTCCTCCAACCCTTTTGTGTCAAATGTTCCGCAATATATTGTCAAACCAAAGTAAGGCTCATGGATTCTTTGCAAAAGTCCAAGACTTCGCTGCCATGGGTAGTTGTTGATAATCACCAAAACCTAAAAGTTGCATATGCAACTAGCAAAGAAATATCGGCCTACAAAATTTCACAGAACATAATATCAAGCTGACGGTGAACACGGAAACTTAAACTTTGAGCTTTTCCCTCACAAGTGAAGAATCCCAAGTCGCTGTGGCGGTCAGAAACGGAATGCATACCACAAAAATTTGTCTAGTCAAGATCTAAATCTATCTTCCATATCTGCCGCGCTGTTCATTGAAAAAGTTATGAGCAATTAAAAGTGGAAGTTATTAGGGTTATATGCGTAGCGTGCTTTAAGAACTAGCCTGGAAGTGCATAATTAGCATAGTGTTGAATGTACTGGCTAGAAAGGTCACTTATCGGCAGCATAAACACGTGTTTTTGAAAAAAATTACTTCTTGGAGTTGTGGCACTACATGCTTGTCAAATTCGGAATAAAAAAGTTGGATCTAGAATTAGCTCAACAAGACGCTAATGATGTGAATGTCGTCCATCGCCACGGTGACCTAGAATCCTTCCCTATTTAGAACCTGCTCTCATACTAATATGGAAACTTGAACCATGAAAATGAAACTGCTGTTTCACATTGCCTACCGCGGCTCCTATGCGTAAAAAACACTTTAATCTTTCTTTCTCTCTTTCTGCCTTTCTTCCTCTCTTCCCTCTCTCTGCCGGAATGTCCATACCGTGTCTCTCTTTTCTGACAATGCTACGTCTTTGCTGTGCAGAACCGCGAGCTTAGTGGCAGACACTGGTTCCAGCGGTTGATCTCAAAAAGTTAAATTGCATTGTAAATGTAATATACTTCAAAACGCAACAATAGCTATTTTGACTGGAAGCTCGAAGCTAACTTGGTGGGAGAGCGCTTCCGCACCATTCCTTCAAATCATCCAGATACCGCACTTTCTGTTGAGCCAGTTCAATGTCCTGAAGCAAACAATCTTTTCAAAGCGTTATTATGGTCTTCTGTCATCTTTAATATGCCTATTTCGAGAGCAGAGTTAGAAGACTATTATGTAATAGAAGAGTTTCCAGTTGTATTGATTTTTCGAGCCTTACGAGTACAAGACAAGCACACAGAGTGATAGAGCAAGCTTGTTTTATTTTGTTTTTCTCTTTTTGAGCCATACCCAAGATTGGTGACTGATTTTTTTAACTCCACGGCTATGGCCTTCGTCAGAGCCTATAAGGGACAAAACAATTTGCACCCGATTTGAACAAGTGTTTTTACTGCTGAACGGATGAAGCGCTAGACCTTGTTTTCGATATCACCAGCTCAGCTCCCGCACAAGCACGTACCCTCTGGATTACGATGATAGTTCTCTATCAGAGACAAAGTCTGAGGTTCAAGTTGTCCGTTGCTAGAGAAAGTTGGACTTGCGTGTTTGCAGACCGCTATTTATATACTGCTATATCAAAGTAACTGATTCAATAAGGTGAGAATTCATGCGTAATTGCTAGGTTTTCCTCTCTTCGATTGATTTTTGGGTTCCTTGCATAAACCCAAAACGCTTCCAGACACTTAAATGCCTATGTTTGGGATTCATGTGTCAAAGTTCTCACCGAGATTCCAAAGTTTGCGCCTGCATGTTGCCGCACTCTGTGGGTGCCTAGGGGTGTCGATGTACATGTTTTATCTCTGCCATCTAATTGCTCTTCAATGGATACATAGTGGTCGTGCCGTTCCCTATGTACTCGTCGCCGCAAGTCATGCATGAGGTTAAACAGATGACTCCAGTCGTCATGCAATCCCCTTCTCTGCCTGTAGGGCAGATACAATTCGGTGTGAGGCAATTGCGATCTTCACAACTGTAACCAGATTTTCGAATCTCAGTCTCTTTAAAGATGTCGCAATGATGTGCTTTCGATATGTATGGGAGATAAAATATTATTGTTTTTGACAACATGAGGGTCACCTGCCTAAACGCGACCTTTATCACTCCTCTTTATTCTTCCTGCATAATGTTTATATCCACTAGAAGGCACTATACTACGGGCCAGAGCCATCGATTCTGCCTTCTCTTTCGGACCACTGCAGGCCTGAGAGGCAGTGCGAAACATGTTGTTTATAATTGCTCTCTTTGTCCGGTGAGCCGGAAACGAGTAACAAGAATGTTTTTGTTACTGGGCCTACGGTAGCATTTTGTGACGTGCTCACCAGAAGCGATATTAACCTGCGCATTTAAGAATGATAACAAGTAATCTTTTGGTTTCTCTCTTGTTAATGTATGCGTTGATATTGTTCATTTAACGATTTGAAACATTTGTCCATGTGTTCTTAAGAGGTACAGACTATGAAGCAATTGCCAATATGACGGCATTATAACAAATGGCAGCCCAAACCGGTGTTTCACCCTGCAACATTATATGTGATTCCGATCGTCACGACACGACGGGGAGCACTGACAACGTTCTAGACGTTAAAAAACACTTGTTAACGAGAAAGACCAGCATTTCCGTGCGCAACTTTCTGCGCAAGATTTAAGCGCATTTCTTGTTTTTATTCAAATCCAACAGCTTCCCCAACTTCTGAAACTCAATATTAGTCAATTGAGAGGTCAAATGAGAAACTTTGTTCTGAATTCTGGAGAAACATTCACAAATACCTTTGCAATATAATTGCCTTATTCATTTATTTTGCCTTGCATTCAGATCGGTCGGTTTTGAGAGAACACATCAGAGTGTTTGATCCTATACTGATTTTTTGGAAGTAGGTAAATGCGAGGTGTCGCTGTGGCAGTACATCTGTCCCAATCAGGATCAAGTCAACATTTACGTAATCGCGTCCGCACAGTCAAGATTTTGCGTCAAATCTACCGGTTGTACAAATGGTCTTGCTAAGCTCTCTCTCTTCACCTCCTTCGATCCATTCGGCAAAGTTTGGCGTATACATCAGCACAAACTCTCTTGCAAGCTCGCAATTTTGAGTCACGCTGCCTGATTACGATTGGGACAGACTGTGTAACATGTTCTACGGTAACTTTGGTTTTTGCTCCAAAAACAGTCCATGAGCTTGCAACCCTTTTATGCCAGAGGAAGGCTGGAAGCTTCGAGTGAACGAGCAAAGAAGAGGAAGCGAAAGCGAAGAAAGAGAAGCTGAAGATGATGACTAAAAACTGAAAACTCTAGAAAAAAGGAGTACGGAACATTTGTTTGAGATGAATAGAGAGCGCTATCAAAGTGGGAAGTGAATTGTCACTAAAAAGGTTGTTTTTTTACACCAACTTCGAACAGTGGGTGAACGCATAAAATTTGGGTTCGTTTAATATATTCTGTCCTTGCTTGCTTTGTTTTTACGGCAACGGTAATGCAAAACTTTTTTTGATGATTTTCATAAATGCGCTGACCTGTACTGTGGCGTTTCCGACGGGCGCGAAGGTGAGATTCACATACGCTTGCCTACAGTTAAGATATCTTGGTCGGTGCGATTCTTTCTCGTCGGGGTGTATTGAAGGAAACTTGTAGCTAAATTGCCAGTCTTATTTTCAGATTGGAAAAAGGGTGTGCAGCTCTCTGACTATAGCTTCAGAATGACGAGCTCATGACACAATGATGAAAAATTTCTGTAATGTTCCATCGTTCGTGCTAGGATTTTTCCAAAAAATTGGCAATGGTTGCAAACATGTAACTCATATAATTGACGTATAGGTTATCCCAAAAGTGTGTACCCAACGTTTTATCGTTGATATCTCTCTTCCCAAAAAGTCGTTTGCCTAATATCAGATACCATTTTATAGAGCTTGCTATAATTTACATTGACAAGATCAACAGCAGGGAGCCAATCAGCGTCGCTCTTCAATACTGTAGAATTAAGAAACTTTGAAGAGGGTTTTGAGACATGGATGGCCACATTTCGCCTCAAAAAAGAAACAAAACAACCTGAAAATTCCCACACTGGACTAATTGGAGTTGGTGATTTTAATTATGTATGAAGTTTGCATCTTATTATAATGCTTCTCAAATTTTTTTTGCCAAGTAAGCAGTAGCAGCGATGTTTTCGATGTTCTTAAAAAAGTGGTTACACAATTTGGTAAGCTTTGCACTCTTGTACAAAGTTAAGCATTCATCTCGGCGTCCATTAAAACCCTATTTTTCAGAAACCTACACAGGTTTTCAGGATTAAAATGTTTTTCGAACGGCAACTTTTCGTGGCCGTATGTCGGAAGTTCATACAGTAATCCTACAGTATCGGTAAGTTGTCTCCTACTGTAAATTCAAGTTGAATTTAGTTTTTCAGAATGGTACTTGCTGTTAGGCAAACGACTTCTTGGAAAAAAATATTATCAATTTAACAGTGAGTACATACTTCGGGATAACCTGTATATATTAGGGTGATTCAAAAGTAACGGAGCACCTAAAAGGGAGGTTAACCAAGATGTCTGGGGCACATTGGGCGAAGAACTCGCCCCAAATTGCCTGCCTGGGGGATCAACCACTGCGCTACTTTGCGATTCTGTTTTCGATTGGATGACAGCGCTGAACCACCAGAAGTGTGGACATCATTTACTTTGATTTATCAAAAGCCTTTGACAGAGTTAATCACAAAAAGCTTCTGCTGAAACTAGAGAATGCAGGTATTCGTGGTCAGCTGCTCAGATGGTTGGAATCATACCTCAGTGAACGAAAAATGACAGTGCGCGTGAAAAACATGTATTCAGAAAAGTATTTGTGCAGCAGTGGTGTTCCACAGGGAGGAATCCTCTCACCCCTTTTGCTTTTACTTTATACAGCCGACCTGTCTTCGTTCATCAAAACCGACCCGAAAATCCATGTGCAGATTTTTGCGGATGATCTTAAAGTATAAGCTTGCTATGGAAAAGAGGAAAGAGAAGAAGCCTACGAAGCCCTTTCTTCTTCCATAGAAAGAGTGAATTTGTGGTCTGAGATGTGGGATCTGCCCTTAAATCTTTCAAAATGCTCAGTTATGCACTTAGGCGATACCAGTACTCACCTCAGGTCATATATCTGTGATGGTACTGAGCTTGAGTACCGAAGCATTGTGAAAGATTTAGGCGTTTTTGTTGATGATGCTCTCAAATTCACTGCACACTATGATTCAGTCGTCACCAGGTCGCTGGCATCGCTGTTTATGCTTCTGCGTAGCATTCACAGTAATGAACCTGGGCTTTTCGTGCGTTTATACAAAACATATGTCTTGCCGCATTTGGATTATGCTTCACCTGTTTGGAGTCCTTAATCAAAAAAGCATGTGGTAAAGCTCGAAAAAGTTCAAAAAGTTTTTACAAGGATAGTCTTCTACAGATGCTTCCCTAACCCTGAATACCCTCGTGCATTGCCGTCCTACGGTGCTAGACTTGCAGTTTTGAAACTGCATAGTTTGAAGTATAGACGTGTTGTTAACGACTTGGTGTTCTGCTTTCGTATCCTAAAACTAGAAACTAAATTACGAGCCAGTAAATACTGGATCTTTAGGCCCAGTGGAGAGCGTACAGGTGGGTTTAATTTGCACTACAGGAAGCTAGGTAAAAAATGCTTTTTGCAAACTTTCAACTCGTTTCTGTCGAACCACAAGATGGTTAAGCCTTTTACCTCAAGAAATAATTTCTAGTAAAAACGCAACCTCTTTTCGCAAGAAGTTAGGATCTATAAATGTACTGGAATATTTGCATATAGCTGATGTTTAGGTTGGGTCTTGTGATCGTTCTATTCTCCTTCTACCATTAGTTCTTGCACCTGTGTTGTTAACGTTGGCGACAACGGTTCCTCGAATCAGTGTTCTTTAGCCTGCGCGGATTCAAATTCACAATCGCCGCATTTTTTTTTCATACCGAGACTGAATGCCTTTTCATGTTTTCGTGTTTTTCTTAAATCTCTTTGATGTATTACTAACTTCATTGACGTCTTATGTTTGTTGATTTTTGTTGGTTTACTAACAAAGTGGCACGCCTATGAGCGTATCATATACATATAAATAAATTCATGTTAGCCTGGTGGTCCCAATCCTTTGTAGCAGTAGATAAAACATTTAGTATCAAAGACATATTACCATTCTCTCATCGGGGTAATCGAATGAGGTCGCCTCTGACGGAATGCATCTGATAGAGTTTTTGCGCTCTATCTAAACGTATGCAATTTCTTTCGATTTTTCTCTTTCTTTTCTCTATAATGTCTTAGCCTAAAAGGCTGCGCCAAATATCACACCTTTTACGCCTGCCTCTACGCAGAATATTGGAGAATTTCTGCACATTTGAAAAACTGTTGGAAAGATCTTGGAAAGCCCTTGCAATGACATGTCACATTCCAGGGACTTCCAAGGACTTTGAAGTACAATAGCACCAGTGCGAATGGCGTTCAAAAAATCTGTCTGACTTCTTCCAAGCGCCGCTCGAAGGATTGTAAGTAAGGTGCTGCGAGGTGCTGTCAGGTTGAAATACAAACTAACTCCAACTCCCTATTCCGCTGTGTTAGTTATCAGCATGCTCACTTATCCCTAAGCGAATTCCCAGCCCCGTACCTAAAAATTCACAAAAAAATCAGTAAATCGAAAAAAGTAACGGTTAATTCTAAGAACTAATATTGTATTCGTAATCAGCATGCTCGACTATCCCCCTATGCCAATTCCCAGATCCGCAGGTCAAAACTTTACAAAAAAATCGATAAATATCGATGAAATCGATATCGGTCGATTACGAAAAGTAGCCTATGACACCCGCCCCGCCCCGAAGTGTATGTGTGCCAAGTTTGGTCTGGATCGGTTCAGAAATGGAATTCCCTATTCGGAGTATACGTACAGAACACATATACATACAGACATACAGATATACAAACAGACATTCAGCTTTATATATAAGATGGTAAAGAAACCTTCATAATGTTCAGAAAGGTGGCCCATTACTTTTGATCACAATAAACATCAGGTTAGCGGACACTTTCTGTTGCGTTTTAACTTTTGATAAGCAAAAATCTTAAGAGTTTGAATAACCCATGTTTAGGGTTGAGGGCTGCAAGAACCTTTATTGGCAATGTCACCCACGTTGTGGTGTAAGTTTATTTTGTAGCCATTTTTATCAATGAACGCATCCTGTTGGGTGATGAGGGAGCAAGCGGGCGAAGTTTTAATCGAAAAGAAAATAGCCTATAGTATTTGGCTAATGTAGAGGGCTTGACTCAAACATGTTGCACCTTCGTCTGAGTCGACATTGCGCCATGTTGGTAGCATTTTGACAGGGAAATTTTTCTACAAACAATTGTTTTGAGCTTTTCTTATAAAAAAAATGATTTTTAACTTTTCTTACGCACGCAAATAGAATTTTTGGGAACATATGAATTCTTCCGTTTTTTACACTCTTTTCAGACTTTAGCGCCAACAAAATGCCGCCATAGAAGAGGCAGTATCAAAATACGTTTTAAAAAATCATAAGGGAGGAAACAGCGAGGAGCATTGAAAGAGTTTGAAGAAAGATGAATGTGTGTAAAATGTGCTAACGTACAAAAACTGTCGTAAACGTGCTGACTCTTTATGTATTTGTGGCTTCAGTCATGCATTGGGTAATTTATGTTATGACTCAATAATGAGGAAATTTGAGAATTTTAGCAAGCTTTTAAAATCTTTCAAAGTTCTATGGAGATAGTCTGAATGCAAAATGAAATTATCCGCCAACTATGGTAACACTTAGCAACATTTCCAAACTTTTGGAACTACTCTAAGCTTTGAGCAGTAAAGGAAAGCATTTTATCACGAACTCACCCGAGCTGATCAAGCTTACATGTCCATCTCTTGAGATGTAGATAATCTTTGTCACTAAAGTAGTCCCAGTACCTCAAGCAGAATTGAAATTCTAGTAAAATTGGCACACTAGTAATTTACCTTAATTCTTTTCCCAAAGCAAGCATGCATGCTACTACCGTCGTATATTTACACCTCCAGCGGATCATAAATTCCACAAAGTCATCAAAATTGCTAAAATTCTTTGAATCTCCGTTCTGAGATTTGCAAAGCGGAAGACCTTAGCGAAAAGTTAGAAATTCAAGAAATTTTTACTAGTGCTGAGCGAAAATCCATAAACAGCTATATTCCTCAACAAAAAAGACTTACCTCGCGAAATGTTTTACAAATTGCTTTTGAGTGACTTGCTGCATATCAGCACTAATTGGATGAATTGCGAAAATGTGCAAAAGTTTTTGTACAAATAAAGATCGAAGAAGTATGGAGGTACTGAAACGTTCATGTTCTAGATTTATACAATTAGAAATCATTTAACGGAAAAAAACGCACCTATTTTTTGATGTGGGGAAAAATAAACTGAAGAATGCTCTTTTGTGAAAAAGAGTGTTGAGAGTGTCCCATGGAGAAAGAGCTTCTGGAAATAGATAATGCGAGAATCTCTTCTGATATTGGCAGGTTCACACTGAGGGTAAAGGTGCATCTTGAGCGACTCAGTTTTATTATCTTTCCATCATTCAGTTAGAAATGAAAGTAGTCTATAGGCCTCGCATAGTTCATTTATAAAATCGTGACATGGATTTTACTGCGGACTTTGCGCCCACAGAAGCATAAAACGCTCATACAAGAATGCATCACCTCAATGTTCAGCTCAATCACTTTCACTGTATAAATATTATCAAACGTAAGCAAAGAAACCATTCGATTAAAGATGAAAACCAAGAAATTACTTTTTTCCGGAAGTGGCGTGCGTGTCGCGCGCGTCGCATCATCGTCACGATTTTCCAAATGCCCTATAAAATCTACTTGCCCGCGCCGTGCTTTGAACACGAACCTAACCAAGTGGTCGTCGCAAGGCGTTGTAGGCATTTACTTCCATCGGCGAATTTTTTGCGTCATATTCTGTCGTTTTGAACATTGTCATGTATGCTTTGGCAAAAACTCCTTTGAAATCTAAATATATACGGAAGGAGTACGCGCTCATTGTCGCTTGTACCTCTTTGGGACCCAACGTTTCCAGCCTCTCCGCGCGTCGGTATTCAAGGCTAAGCGTGGGCAGTTGGATTTTACGAAGCCTGTCCACATACCTTTGAGGGAGATTGGTGGAGAGAATTTGCTCCATCGTTTGAAATATTTATCTGTACTGTCGGAAAGCATTTCGTAAGGCTCGATGAGTCCATGTTGCACAGCCGGAGTTCTCATCAATCGGCAAGACAGCATACAGTTATGGCATAGATTTTTGTATCTCTGAATGATGTCTCTCCAAACCATATTGGAGAAATTGCCGAAAAAATTACTTGACAAAATTGCAATGGAAACCTCCTTGAACAAAGATTTGGATTGCCAAAAAACGTGAATGGGTTGAAGATTTTTATCGAACTATAAACAGCGATTAATCACTTTCATTTGATCTGCAAGTACATGTACCTATCTGAGTCGCAGTCATCGATGCCATATTGTAACCCACTGATGTAGTCCACATAGTCAAAAAGAGACAACGACGCATCTACGAACTAGAGATTATACACATGGTAATATTATGCAAGATTATCTCTCGTCATCAAGCCGATCACAAAAGTTTTCTAACATTTCAAAGATTGAAATAATTAACAAACGATTCCCTTGACAGCAAATAAGAGAGTGTGAGCCGAACTGGTGTTAACGGTTCCTATTTCAAAAACTCAAGTCGTGCCAGATACTTCAATCAACATTTTTACACAGCAAAAATTACAAGTGATTTTTGATTAGAAGTGCTTTTTGTGGAAATAGTAATTAACTGCACATCTTGAAGTGAGAAAGACGCAGAAGGGCTAAAGCTAATTCAGATATGAAAAGGAAGAAAATTTGATCATTTGAGCTTCGTATGAGAGTGTATTCTTCTTTTTGCATGTAATGGTTACACCAAAATTTCAAAACACTATGAAGAAAAATTATCTATTTTAGTTCCCTCGTTGTTTCCCAAGCCTAAGTTATTTTTCAAACATCGCTCTGCAAAAATTACACATTGAAAAGTTTACGAATGTCAGCTCGTAAAATTTTATGCTACTGGTTATAAACGGATTGTAAACGAAGTATGCCTAGAGGCAAATTCTTCTTTCTATATTGGAACAAGTAAGTGCTCGGCTGTTTCTATAACAGTAATCGAAAATGACGTTGCTCAGCTTACTAGAGGGAACTATCCCATGACCGATGTCGTAAATCCAGTCGGCTCCGCTCCAGATAGCATATATGTAACCAACATTCCTACCTAAACAATACTCTCTTCTTGATGCATCAGCTCTCACTTAAGGTAAAGCCTGAGCCTTCGGAAATCTCTCACCGCTAAAACCTCCTTTTTCGGTTGATACATAGCGCACATTTTCTTTGACAACAGAGCGATTTTTCCTCGTTTTGCTTTCAACTACGATGAGATTCCAGCCATCGAGTTGTGATATTTGCTACAAAGTGAGGTTTTATAATTTTTATTTTCAGCAGGTCTTTTCAAACTTCCTCTCTCTCTCTCTCATCAGTTATTTTACGAGAAGGACGCTCCGAAGAAGTGCCTTTTGACAATGGATGTTACCATTGAGCGCCCAAAAATGTGACTCTAAATCTATCTTCGTTACCTGCGGAGCTTTTCTGAATGAGGACTTTTGAGGGTTTACTGGAGCAGACAATGGAATGCGCAAGAGCATATCGATTGCAACTGTTTCTAGTTTCAAAAAGGCAACAAAGTGTGCATTTATCTTATTTATGAGGTTTATTGCTTCACTTTATCAAGTGCTCTAATAACGATTATTGACATTCTAAATCCTAGCAAAATTACAGCTGTTTTCATCCTGGATACAATTACACGTTTCTGACGCTCAAGACTCCTCGATCATAGCTCCACAGATAAAAAGGCAGATTTGAAACTAATGTTTATAGCCTCTAAAAGGGTATACATCTCTTTTGGAAGGCCATTTGTTTGTTCATCTTTTTCTTGTAAACCAACTGTATAAAATCAAATTTCACATCATGGGTAAAATTTCCATGTAGCTTGTTTGACCTTGGAGAAATTTGAAGGATTGCAAAAAAAGAGAAAATATGAAAGGTTTGCAAACTATAAAAATGCAAATGGAATGCTTCGAAGAGCTATAGCTAATTTGAGAAGTCTAAAATCCCAAAGCTAGGAGATGCTGCCATTTAAGTTTCATGAAAAAGTGCAAGTATTTTACAGTAGAAAAAAAAGAAAAGAATTTTCGAAAAGCAATGAGTTTTGAAAATGATTGATGTTGACTTCAAAGATGTCAGAAGGTTGTGGCCTATAGAAGTGAAGTGAAAATTTACGCACTTCTATGTCCTCATAAGTATATTCATCCTCCATAAGCACGATCCATTTTGAAGCATTTGATATCACAGCAGCATCGCTAAACTTAGTAGTGAGATCTCAGAAAAACTTTAAAAAACGTTGTATTGATCTGCCCAAATTGCTCAGGAAAATAAAACTAGCGAAATCTACCAAAGTAGTGGAAAAATGTCTTGCTTACCGCAAGCTCCAGTATCGAGTGTTTATTTCTTGTAGTCGAGGTAATTCGAAGACTTTAGAATCGAAAATTGGTTTCTTCGTGGTGCAGACCTCATAATTTGACAGGGATATGTGAAGCTTCATGGCAAAAATAATCACCAAGATGATTAGCAATGTTTGCAAAAAAGCGAATAACCTGGGAGCCATAATCAGGCTGCCTAAAATGCCTAAAATGCGAATTTACGCAAAGATTGTGCAAATCAGTAAGCGTATAATTATACATTTTCTCCAATTAGAAGCACACAATTTGCGAAAACCAGTAGCTGTAAGTATTGTATAGATTTTCCCCACATCAGGGAAGAACATTGACAAATGTATGATAAATGAGGTTTCAGTAACTATGTGAGAAACAGGAAAACTGAATAATCGCGATAAAGTAATATTTGGCAACTTGAGCATACATACATTTACCAGAATACTAAGTGGGAATTTTTTTTGTGAGAAGTTTGCATTCCGCAATTAACATCGTCAATACCGAACAGTCTTTCCCACAGTAAAGCATGAAACAGAACAATTATAAACAAATATATCACGATGGGTGCGTTTTAGATGAGTAGAGATTTGTTCTCGACCTAATGGTTTCTCTTGAAAAAGTCTCATAAATTAGTTTTTTGAAAGATCGTTTCGCAGATTCTACAGATGACAGATCTCAAATTGGGTTTCGAAAATAAATCGAATTGGCGATATACTACATCAGCACTTTTTTTGAGTTGGCGAAACCTTCGTTTCATAAACGAATCAATTATTTCCACTGAAAAGCAAGTAAAAAGGCGTAACTGCTAAAGATGGTGGAAAACATACGGTTATTCCTTTGTGCATTCTTTGAATATGTAGAAAAGTACAGGTTCGTTCATTCGTTATATTTACTTACCTTTTTTGCAGTGTGCTTTGCTTAAAGATTCATGTAAATTTAACAAAACTTGAGAATTTGATGTGGCCACTTGATCTTAGTTCGTTTGAGAGAAGTAATTGGATGCGTTACATATAGTATAAGTTACAGTCTCCAACAGTTTTCAATAATACAAACCCTAGATAATTCAGCAAGCTTACGCTTGGATAGCCTATTTCAGAAGCTTAGACGGTGCCCCATGTTAGGCGTTCAATCAGCATTTGACTATATAAAATAGTTTCAAAGAACAACTCGATTGTTTTGTCGTCACTTGGAAAAACAGATAAAAGATATCGTTACATCGGCTTACGCTCATGTGTTCAAAATAATGAAGGTTCCCATTTTAGATTCTGTACCCTTTCCACACAAAAAATGTAGCTTTACTCTCTAACATGGGTACGACCTTTCTACAAGCATTTTCCGAAAGCTGGTCCAATCAGAAATTTTCACGGCTGAAAACAAAAATCAATTTTCATCCTACATCAAACGCATCAAGGCGAAAGTGTGCGCAGATTGTTGGAGTTTATGTAGCAACCATATTCATACAGCTTCCTCTCGATACGTTTGACGCAGACTGAGGACGGCTTCACTATTGTTTTTGGCTCGGTGAAATTTTTGATTTGTCCATTTTACCAGAAACAAAACGGTTTGCACAGATGCGTAGCTCACTATATTGTTTAGAATCATTCTATAATAAAGAATGGCAAGGTTTTGCACTTACATGTTGACAAGTTGCGGACTGAGGCGAGTGATTGCCGAGGGTGCGGAGGGTGCAGATTGTCTACAAGGCTAGCGTGTTTTCGTAGGGGTACAGGGGGTGGTAAATATCGTGTCTCCTCGAGGAAGGCGTCCAAAAGGGGTGCGGTTCTTAAGTGCAAAAAGGCTATAGTAGGGAAGGGGCCGACACTCTCGTAAGGTTGCTAACAGTACCCCCCCCCCTTCTTTCGCAAGTTTGAACTCTGCCGGTATGAAGGTTTCGGAACTCGCTGTCTAGCGTAGACATGCTTTAATAGTTCCTCAACGTTTACCCTTCGACTGCTCACATTTTCATTTTCCTGCTTAAGTTCTTGGCTGCCCATAATTAGTTAAAGTTCATAGCTGGCATAGTTGGTGAGAATTGATGAGGACAGTTCTCTGTTCTTGAAATAAGTTGGTAAGTCGTAAGGCTATTCTTATAGGTCTCTGCAATCATTTCTCACAACTCCAGTCTGTTCGCTGTTCATTGGGCATATCTTTCAATGCTTAATCTGTTCATAGGGCTCTTTCTTGATTTGTAGGTGCCAGTAAGGCAGTTCTACTAAAAATATTGATCTGTAAGCTCCCCTGAGGAGTTTTTTCGACAATTATCCAGTTAGCGGTTATTTGTAGGGTGGTTCCTTCTCAAAGTATCGGTCCGCAAGGGGAACATTTCATTTTCATATTTATAGTTCTAAAGGTGGACCATAATGCGCTTTTTTTCAGATATGAATTTGAAGAGGAGCGGAAGGGCTCGTAGAATCCATAAGCTTCTCATCAGGCACTTTTTAGGCTCGTACTTGTTTCTCAAAATGCTGATGTATAAGCGACTAGGGCACCTCCTAAAATTGTCGGTCTGTGTGCGGCGCGTAGAGGAGTTACTTGTGAAAGTTGGTTTGTATGAGGCGTAGATATACTGTAACCTGTTCTAATTATTTTTTCTCTCTCAGAAGACTAATTCATAAGGGACTCGGAAAGCGCTCTTTCTCAAATATCGGTCTTTGAACGGCTGCAATTTTTTTCGAGATATTGGTTTGAGGGTTTCCAGCTTAATTCTTGATATATTGGTCTGTGAGCGCCCATAGAGCGGTTATTTCCCAAAATGCTGCAAGAGGCCATGGAGCGATTCTTTACAAATTATCGTTGGCAAGCCCCCCCCCCCTCCCCGCTCGGCCGCTCCTTTTAGAAATTATCGATTTGCAGCGGCACATAGAGCAATTTTTCTTGAAATATTGGTCTGTAAAATCCCATAAGGCAGTCTTTTCTCAAATTATGGTTTGTAGGTGGCCCATAGAGCAGTTTTATCACAAAATATTGGTTGTATATAGGTTCCAAGGGCGGTTCCTCCTCAAAATACCATTGTGTAGGCCTCTAACAATAAGTAGCTGGCAGCTTCTTTCTCAAGACTTCGGTCTTTGGCTGTCCATAGAGCAGATTATACGTGAGTGCCTCGTAGGGCAATACAGTTTGTAGGGGCTGTAGATCTGTAATCTGGAATATCTGCTGATCCCCTATAGGGCAGGGCTTCCTGTAATTATCGGTCTGTGGGGGAAGGAAGAGGGGGGAGGGTAAGATAGCCTTTTCTCAGAATATCGGTCTTACAAGGGAAGTGTCAGAACTCGCAGTGGCCTTTTGACATGAAATAAGTATCATCTGAAGCAGCTTGAAATGCTGATTCCAAAGCAGCCTTTCTTAGCTGCAGAACTAATCTAGGACGAGAGTTAGTGAATTTAATTTGCGGGAAATTTACAACGCTGAGAATAGCCAAAAATTAAAGCGAACATTTTTTCGGGCTCAAACATAGATGAAACAGTCCAACAATGTTAAACGTAATTCTACGCCTTCATCAAAGTCATGCTGTGGTGCTTAAACAAGCAATTTAAAGGTTCCCGTGATCACAGAGTACTTCAAACAGTGTAAAATTTAATGTTTAAAATGCCCATAACTCGCGACCCAGATCAGTTCTGCAGCTAAGAAAGTTTGTTTTGGAATCAGCATTTAAAGCTGCTTAAGATGGTACCCATCCCATGTCAAAAGGCCACTGCGACTTCTGACACTTCCCTTGTTAGGGCAGTCTCAGCACGGTTCTTTCTCCAGTAGGGTTTGTTGGGAGAGGAACGACGGAGGAAGGGGAAGGGCGTTCTTGTAAACCTCGGTCTGTAGGGGACTGTGAGTAACTTCTCAAAACATCGGTCTGTTAGTGGCCTATAGGGCATTTTCTTTCTATAACTACCACTCTGCAGCGGCGCATAGGGCGGTTATATTCTCTAATATATCGATGGTAGTTACGTAAAGATATGTCTCAAGCAGCTCATAGCTTCTGTTGTTTCAAAATACCAGCTTGTGCTACACATAGGGCGAGCGACTGCTTCTTGCAAAAATAGACTTTGAGCGGCTCTTAGGACAATTTTTGAAAGTTGGTTTGAAGATTTGAAGGACAATTTCTTCTTGATATCGGTCTGTGTGCGTCCATAGGGCAACCTTTTTTGGAAAAGGTCCGTAAGCGGCTCGTAGGATCATTCTACATGAGCAGTTCTTTTTTGAAAATGTCTTTTTTGAAAAATACCAGTCTGTAAGCAGCCCACAGTGTAGTCTTGTCAAAATAAGGGTCTGTAAGCGGCCCATAGGGCATTTCCTTCTAATGACTAATTACCGTCCGCGGGCGGACCATAGGGCAATTCTTCCGTCCGTAAGCAGCTTAAAGGCTTCCCCGCAATATTCGATTTGTAGGGGGGGGGGATTGTATGGCAGACTTATCCCAGAATACTATCATTTGTAGGGGTATGAAGGGCACTATTTTCTCAGATTACCGCTCTGTAGGAGGCCTGTAGGAAAGTTTTTCTTGAAGTATTCTTCTCCAGGATCGTGGGGCAGCTCTCACATATACCGCTCTGAAGGCGCGGAGCAGTACGTATTTGCAAAAAGTGGTTTATAGGCGATGCATAAGGCATGAGAATACAATGCTTGTTTTCGCTGCCGGAATTTTTCGGGAACTGAGGTACTTTCTGAGTGTTTAGCTGTTTGTAGACTACATCGAATCGAGAATCGACTGCTTGGTGACTCTGTTGAGATTGGTGCAAACATTTGACCCAAAGAAAATTTTTAGAAGAGAGTCAAAAGGTATCGAATAATCAGCAAAGAGGATTCTCACAATCAGAAGAGTCAAAAGTCATTTATTACTCGGTTTCAGTTGCCCAGAACCCTAAAAAGGTATAAAACGTAGAGGTTATTGTGGTGATGACTATATGTACCCTAGCATACTTGCAAGCGGCCCTTAGGGCCGCTAGTATGTAGAAGAAATGAGAGCGCTACATCCAAAAACAGAAGTCATGAAACTTGCAAAACTTATTCGCTTAATATCATTGTATAGATTCCAGTTTTCGTATTTTACCGGAAGTTTTGAGCTGAAATCTGATAGCAGTGAAAAACGAACTTTTCCCTCAAAGATCGTATCTCCGCTTCAAAATGTCTTGAAAATTCCCCATTTATCCTAGCATATGCATGACACATCTTCTATTCAACTGTGGTATTTCCGTATTTTGTCCATGGCTAGAAATAAAGAAAAAAATGAATGGGGTAAAATGGCAAACTCCGCCCCTAGGCATCCTGAGCTCCTCCCACGCATGTGGTCATATAGCTCATACATACAGAAATACGACCACGTATTTGTAAACTTTGAAGGTGCTCCAGTTCTCGAGAAATGCTGATGATTAGGTTGTGTTTTGTTAAACGGTGAAAAATTATGGGACATCCTATTATATTTCAGCAGCTGCCTCTATCTTATTTTTATTCTCCTCGAGCACGAAGAAAGAAGCAGGTCTGACATGACCCACAGTCTGCGGGGAATTTCCGCGAAGCTTTGTCCTCTGCGACATTCACCAGTAAGAGGCTGCTCTTGCCAGCACTCATTGGTATCATTTAGTTATGGCATCGAGTCGTGTATCTGCGCCACCTCACCACTTAGTTCTGCGCCGTGTCACTTTGTCACTTTGGAGAGTTTTTGTGTGGTACAAGTTCTGAATTCTGAAATCTGATGTGTGGCTCACAAAGAACATGAGCTCTAGCGCTAAGGTTTATACGAGAAAGTGAGTTATGGTAATGTAATTATCAACATTTGACCTCTTAAAAGCACTGTCCACACAAAATGCAGTGAATAAAATTTCGGTGCGTGACAGTAAGGGGGCCTCCAACTATGTATTTGCCCGAATCGCGTTGTCGAAAGTTGCTTCCAAAACGAGAAAATTGCTTTGAAAATCGCTTTGGATAACGGATTCGCCACGTTGACTGTCGTTGTCGGCCCTTTAAGTGGACGTGACGTTCGTCCCGCCATCCGTGCGCATCCAACCAATCATCACCGTTCCGGAGAACCTGCCCTGCGGGTTCTCCGAAACGGGGTTTGCCGGGGTTTTCGTGGATTCTCGACTTGATGTTCGGAATCAGGGACATGAAAAGGCCCCGAAACGACAAAAACACGGAAGCCACAATCTGGGTGGACGGTGACTTTAAGAAGTGTTGAGAATTGTAAAGCGATAGAGAGCTCAACAAGTCGCCGAAAAAATTACATTTGTCACATCGGTCTGAAACAACGAGTGGAAAGTAGGCACTTATCATTACACCCAAAAATTTAACGGACGAACAGCACACACAATCCAAAGTAAGTATTACAGATTTTATTCATTTACTAGCTGGCTTACCCGGCTCCGCCGTATGTTCCGAATAGAAAATTCCATTTCTTAACCGATCCGGGCCAAATTTGGCACACATACACTTCGGGCCCCGGCGGGTGTCATAGGCTACTTTTCGTATCGATCGATATCGATTTTATCGATTTTTTGCCAAATTTGAGCTACGGAGCTGGGAGTTGGCACAGGGGGGTAAGTGAGCATGGGGATTCCGAATACAATATTAGTTTTTAAAATCATGCATTACTTTTATCGATTTTATCGATTTTTTGCAAAATTTGAGCTACGGGGCTGGGAGTTGGCACAGGGGGGTAATCGAGCATGCTGATCACCCCCCTTGATTACACTTCTCTGCCAAATTCCAGCCCCTAGCTCAAATTTTGCAAAAAATCGATAAAATCGACATCGATCGATAACGAAAAGTAGCCTATGACACCCGCCGGGGCCCGAAGTGTATGTGTGCTAAGTTTGGTCCCGATCTGTTCAGAAATGGAATTTTCTATTCGGAACATACGTACACACAGACATACATACATACAGACAAACAGACATTCAGCTTTATATATAAGATTATTGCACACAGTGCACAGTCAAAGGCACCGGTAAGTCAATAATAATCACCCATATCAAACATTAAACATGATATCATTATGGAGTCAACAATCAGATGCAACCGTCATTCAAATGAAGCCAGTTTGACACAACCTTACTTCCATAGCACCCAGTACAACCATAGCATCAAAATTTGACTACAACCTATTAGCAGCATACTTCCGATGCTTGTAAGTGAGCCAAATACTTGTGCATTATCATAGAAGTACGAACACATATATGTAAAGAATAACATGCGCAAGATCTTTGTTATACGCAGATCCCGGACCATATCAGTCATACTTTCAAAAGCATTTCTCTAAATGTTCGCACTACCGTGGTGCAGTACCTAAAATGCTGCAAGATGAATTTTTGCAATCTATGTATTATCTCTAAAAAATGATTTACAAGAATGAGGGTACTAACCCTTGCTTGATGGTTTGATTTCTCAAATAGCTCTGTTTGAATGGATGCAACATGATGAGATCACTGTGGTAGATTGCTGAGGGATCGCCACCCAACTCGTGACGAGCAATCACTTTCTCTTGTGGTGCCCTGAATTCATCTTTTACCCAAAGTGTCAAAAAAGTCTATGTGCTTACACGACGTGCTCGATTGCAGCAAGATATTTGAGCACGGCAATTTCTACAAACACTCCAGCTTCAAAGAAGATTCGCATGAGATCGACGAAGAAGTCAATTTTCGTAGTTGGAACGTAAAAACTGAAATCTTCTTATCTTGGTTATCATCATGCTGTTAGTGTATTGAAGTCTTTATGATGTAAGGTAAGCGAATGGCTTTGATATTCTAGAGTAACACTGTACTCGCACTCGCACAGGTTGACCTCTCATGAGGGTAGAGCAGAAACAATGACCGCATTGAAATTTCCCGGTCTGCAATGCTGTCAGTCCCACCACAGATAATTTGGGAAGCTGAATATACAACGATCATAGGCTGCATTCATACTGATTTCGAAGTCCGGGAACGGTTTCAGCAGTAACGCTCAGTTCGAGCGTTATGCTGGAATTGTTCCCGGACTTTCAAATCAGTATGAACGCAGCCATAAACTCGCATTCAAACACCGCAAATCAGTGGATTTAGTTATTATATTAAACACCTCGATAACATCTTTGAACAGCTTCCGCGTGAAGACTGACTCTTTGAAGGAGTCCTCAGACAGTTGAGGCTGCCAGTATGTGGCCATGAACTCAAGATGTTTTGAAACAAATAGTTTTTAGGGCCTATTACATCCCAAAAGAAAAGTGACTGATACAAAAAAGCTCACTTTAAAACACAATTTTACTGACAAAAAGATTGAATTGATTAATGTCAAAAAAGCAGTAACAATGCAAACATTTCTGCTGAAACTTGCTTTTAAAGGGCACTCTTGGGGTAGATTCCACACAAGAGATTAGCAAAGACTTTCAGTGTTAGCCAAAGATAACACACTGATTGTGAAAACTCGAACAGGCATTCAAGACCGGAAACGAAGTGGTTATTCAAAATTTTTTCGATGTATAAACGAAACTGTTTGCATTTTGCAACAAGGTTAAGGTGTTTGCTCAAAGTCAACCACTGTCCGAATCTTAGAATCCGAAAAATCTACAGCTTACAAGTCGCTGGGTTCACCGCCATTTCTTGCCAGTAGGTAATCAAGAGCATCTGTGGTGTTCTGATAAGTGAGAATCTAAACAGTAAACCTCAATGCTGTGAAATGCTATCTTCAATCCTGAAGCAAAACCAAAAATTGTTAATATTTTGCCTTCTCTTCGTATTGCCTGCGAATGTTTTGCACTGTCGAAATATTTCTGTATCGTTTTGTTAACAAGTCCACAGTCCTTTGCAATGCTGCTGCACCTATAATTCTCGAACATTTTCTTGCCCAGTGAAGGAAATGCTTGAAAAACAAAGCAGTGTTAATGCAAAATTCGTAAAAGGACACAACACTGCATCAGCGAATGAAATCACCTGCGTTGCTATTATACCAGCCTCTTTTTTCACGCCTTACGATGCCTAGAGGATGATATACAGTGTCTAGACTTATATTGTGCCAAAAATTGAAGACTAGATCATCAGAGGTGACAAAGTACCCTTCAAATCTCGATTATATCATGCTTTATCTCGGCAATATACACCTTTGACATTGTGCAGTCTCATCTCTACTACTTTCGTTAAGCAGAAATATAAATAAAGACCATTCACCAACTCCTTTGGATGCACGTTTACGAAGCTAAAGCCTTCCACGGTTGGCGGGTAGCCTCAAAGATGATTTATATTTTTTTGTGCATTAACAGCTTTTTTCTCTCAAAACTACCTTCGTCCTCTAAGCCATTTTCATCAAATGTTCCGCAATAGATAGTCAGACCGAAATATGGCTCGTGAATTCTTTGCAAAATTCCAAGGCTCTGCCGCCAAGGATAGTTGTTGATGACTATTAAGACCTTAATAGCTGTATTTGACATCATATCTATTATGTCCGCTACAACGATTCGGTTTTCTTTGTTTAAATATAAATCTTGAGAACAGCACGTACTACTGAGCAGCACTGGACATAGGTTTCTGCAAACAGCACTGCAAGCACAGCTTCAACGTTTTTCAAGTAGACACCACAAGACTAATTTCGCCATTGACCAGAACGAAAGTGAAGAGAAGCAAAACGTACGTTCATTCAGCGCGGCAAGTGAGCTGAACATTGTAGAGAATAGCCGTGTCTTTAACACGTTTCGGACCGCGAAGTCGCGCGCGGCGAAAAAGAGGGTACTTTCAGCCGTTAGCCAACAAAGGGCCTTAATTCGTAGACTGTGTGCTATATCTGTAATCAGCACCCAAAGTTCTGAGTGAATTCGAAGTGTTTGAATTTTGTCGCCTGAGAAGGACTTGTGTGCTTTCCTGAAAGGTAGGAACAAGAACTCAGTTTCTAATTCTATCCAAAAGTATCTATGTTGTATACAGTACACATCATTACTTAAACCATGGTTTTTCACTTTGAGATAGGAGCAAAGAAAAGTTGCGACGTCGCACGCGCCGTTCGCGTTGCCGCACTTCATTGCAACTGTTGTTCGATTTGTCCTCATATCTTCTAAACAAATACCGTCGGCACAGCTCTACAGTCATTTGAAAAGAAGGAGCCTAGGCCTTTGATTTGATAACCTTGGACAAAAAGAAAACCTCCTGCAAACTTTGAGAAGCTCCTAAAGACGCGTGCTGCACCATGTGCAGCACCGGTCCGAAACGTGTTAAGATTAGCACTGTAGTCATACCATAGGGTCATACGCTTGTTGTAAGGTATTGGCTTGTAGTAAACCCCCAGTAAACTCAGTTGATGTGATGACCCCATATAAGAACATCCTAAGTGTCGAATATTGTTGTGCCGAACAGGTTGTTAGGTGGCCCTTTTATTGTCAATACTCTTCGGCCTTACGTTTCGACGCTTTCTCCGGCACAACAATATTCGACACTCACGAACATGCCCAAGTTTAATGACTACGGAACATGGAAATTATTAGAAAACATCCTAAATCAAACTCAAGAAAGGCCCATTCTTCAAGATGGCTAGTTGAACATTCAGAAAACCGCCCGGTCAAGGGCCCGGTCAGCTCAATATACTTCTACTAGGTGGAAGGTAGATTTCAAATTTCTTCTTCGATTTCTGAAAATATTAGGTCGGTGCAAAAGTTTTGTCAGTTTTTTCAATCCATCGACAAATACGTTAGAATGAACATAAACAAACACTTCAAAATGTATCCGATGCAGAATTTCTTTCTCTTTTCAGATGCTAAACTTTCACTGTGTCTCGTTGCGAGAGTGATGAGATATTTGCTGGAAATTACAACCACTCGTTTTTCCCATGTCCAACTTTCGATAATTTTCAAAATTTTTGTGTGAGACTTTCGGAGGAGCCCTAATAACCAGCAGATAGGGCAAACCTTTTGCCAACTTATGCAATTTTTTTTCTTTTTTTTTCAGCTGCTTTTTCAGATTTTTGCTAAATAATTTCTTAAAGGTCTTGTGCTTTGGAAAAATCGCATGTCCTGTTATTGCATCAAACACTGCAAAACCTACAGAAAACTGAGATTTTAACACACGATTATTAGTACCGCTACCATTACAAAGTAAGTGAGCGATTTTCGCTTATGAAAATTATGAAGATTTTGAAACATTGGTCACGTCATTGCGCACTCCTGAATTTAGGAAATACTGCGATTTTCCCCACAAATTTCGCCTATCTCGGCAAAAAAAGACGAGTGTCAGATAGAGGAGAAAAAGTTGCATCGAATGGTGACTGAAGTGTTCAATATTCTATGCTCTATGAGGTTGAAATAGGCTGAATGTAAAATTTGGTCACTTCAAAAAATAAATCGCAGAAACTCTGGAAGACAAGCAATAGGGGTACAAAAAATTGCATCAGTTGGCAAAAGGTTTGCCTCATCTGCTGGTTAATGGAGCTCCTCCGAAAGTTTCATACAAAAATTTTGAGAATTAGCGAAAGTTGAACATGGTAAAAACGAGTGGTTGCAATTTCCAGCAAATATCTTGTCACTCTCGCAACGAAAGACAACGAGAGTTTAGCAGCTAAAAAGAGGAAGAAATTCTGCATCGGATACATTTTGAATTGTTTCTTTATCTTTATTCTAACATGTTTGCCGATGGTTTGAAAAACTGACAAAACTTTTGCACCGACCTAATATTATAAAATCGGTTTGAAAGTAAGAAATCGAAAACGCAACTGAACTATCTTTTCCCCTTTTTTTCTCTTTTCCTTCTTCTGTTCATCCACCATTCTACAAAGTTTACATCAAACAAACAGCCGCTACTATTGCTTTTTGTAACATTGTGCATCGCCTCGTTTTTTTATTATTATACTCAGTACAGGTGTACTGAGTAGCATAAGCAAGCTAAAGGGCAAATCAAACAAAACAGGAGTTTCAGGAAGGTGACAAATGCGGAGCTTCGAATTTTACAAGCTTTTTAGATGGCAACGTAGCAAAAAACGCCCAAGCTCTAAGCCCGCATATGCGGGCTCGCCATAGACTATGCTGTGGCCTGATATATATTTTACTGATTGTGGAGTCAAAGAGTGAATGCTGCTTAGGTTTTTGTTTGTTGAATGAAAGATATTTGCCAACTATAAACAAACTCACCGAATCTCTTTTTGTCGACAATGCTGGATTGTTGCTGTGCGCAATGTCCAGATCACTCACGGACGTTGAGTCTATCGTCTGGTCTTAAAAATTGAAAGAAAAAAGTCTTTCGTATGGTAGATTGATACGCCAGTGGAAACAGTGATTACTGGTGCCACTGAAAGCAATCCAAGCAAGGATTTTGGTGTTTAGGACGTTTTTTCATGCTCAGTTCAGAGCTTAAAAAGTGACATGTACCGCGGTCTTTGTACCATTTAGGAAAGATTTTGCATATCCATTAGGGGAGAGGGGTCTGTAAGGAAGCACCTTTTGCAACGTTAAATTGTTCTTACGCGAAATTGAACTTGACTTTGACCGACTTACGTTCACCTCGTTATGTACAGGCTACCACAGGACGAAGGCGCAGAAGCAGTATTAGTTGAGTGGGCGCAAACGCGACGCGCGCGTGTCCTCACCGAAGTCCTGTGCCTCATATGCTCCGCGACCAAAAAAGCTGCGTTCGCGCCCAAAAGTAGTGCGCCTTCGTCATGCAGCATCCTATATATGTTATCAATCGCACAAGCCACAGCCTGCACAAGCATCTTTAGACGTATAATTTCAAAAAGAACTAACATATACGTCATCTGCAGAGTTCACTGAGGAAAATGTGGTTATCTTGAGTGAGAAGCAATTTTATGAAGCTCTGTGTGCTACTATTCCAGAGTTGGTAGTAAGCCTGTCGACTCACTGTCATAACTCTGAGTAAACTCTCAGTCATCTCTGAGACAACGCGCACATTTTGACCTCCTTAATAGCTGCTCGAATACACCAAAGCTGGAAAGTGTTGATATGGAAGGATACTCCGGAACCGGTAGTTTATCCCTAATAGGGAAACATTGCCTAAATCGTTCTGCGCAAGAAACATCTCCACTAAACGCGCAACTGAGCCCTGCAATAACTCTGAGCTTGGCGCGCATTCTATCGTGGAACTCAGAAATAACTCTGAGTTTGGTCAGAGAAAGAGAAATAGTGCGCAAAAAAAGAGCGGACAGCTGAAAAGTCCTCCGGAGTACATTTTGCGCGTAGTTTCAGCAAGCGTTATGAGGAGATGGATGCGCTGTTATTTACGAAATCTTGAAAGTTTGTAAAATCTTGGCCCAAGGCGTTATTCGGTGCCCTGAACACGAATATGGCATTCATATTTAATCATGAGGTCATACAGCGGGGTTACGATAAGTTCACGGTAGACAGGAGAAAATCACAAAATTTAACCGAAACTTGGACCGGTGAGGTTATCCGCTGCGCCAAGCACGAATATAGCATCCATTTTATGCTGCCATGACATCTGGAGAGGTTACGGTAGGTTAGCGGCGGACAAGAGAAAGGTCAGAATTGGCTGAAACTTGGCACACTGGGGATTCGGCGTCCAGACCAAGGACACTCTACTACGTACAGCGATGCCATTTGGAGCAATTACGGTGGATGTACAGCAACTGGGATAAATTACAGATATGGTTTGAATTTGTTCAGGTGATTTCGGCGTGCTGCCCACAAGTTTACGAAGCCTTTTATGCGGTGGTGCCACCTGGCTGGTTACGGTGGATATATGGTAAAAAAGCCAAACTCACAAATCGAGGCCAAACTTTGCCTAGAGAGTTTATTCTGCGGGCAAATCTAAATAGTCCATTCTTTTCATTGCGTATGCCATCCGCTTCCTCTATGTGTCTGGACCTTCAGCTGCACAAAAGACCAATGTGTGCGAGAAACTACCACTTCTCGACACAAATAAAAATGAGTAAGGCTTATAGTGCAGTGCATACGTCAAGTCAAAGTAATTCCGTAATAAACGATGTATCTTGACCTATTAGTTTAGTAATAGGATCATCGCGCTGCACCAAACAGGATTCAGTCCCAACTTAAACGTCGCTTTTGCAGTAACGTGCAAAAAGCTCCTCAAACAGCAAATCGAAACTCCGAGCTTGAAATTGGATCTCGGAAGTATGGAAGCCGATTTCAGAGTATCGATGAGTAAGACTCTGAGATACAGAAACGAAACTCAGGGTTACCTCTGAGTTAACGCGGAGCTTTGAACTCAGAGTTTAGACCGTATTACCACCGACTTAAATAAAGGTGCAGCTGCTACTAAGGCAGAAGATAAGCCATTAGTTCCGCAATAGACTAATCTCAAGTTCTAACTCCACTCGAATGCACGCAATGAGATAATTGCCTAACTGCGTCTATCAGAGTAAAGAGACTTACTTGGTTCTAGCGCACTTCCGCACCAATCTTCCAAATCACTTAAATACTCAATTTTTTGTTTAGCGAGTCCGACATCCTGTAAAGAGTGTCTCAATAATCCAGGAAAAAAGCACATCTTTGTACACTTGTATCTTCAGCGATAATTTGAACTTCTAAGCACCTGCAGAAAGTTCCGCACTGAACAGGAATGCCAGGTAACTTATCGTTAGAATCGCGTTCTGAGATGAGACACATATTTTTCAAACCAGCTTTGAAAGCTGATTTTAATCCATTGACGACGATGTGTACCACCGGTGGCTCACACCCCTTGCGAAATCATGTCCTTTCCGGGTCTAGTATCTTCTCCAAAATTCAGTACTTTTCTCAAGTTTTCTGCACTCTCAGAACCCGTGGACTCCGTCGTCCAAGAAGACGTGTAGTTAATTATAAAACAACTTTAAGTTTTGTAAATAATCACAAATCGTTCCCACGCCGAAAGTGTTGTGCAAAATCGCGTCGTCCCACAGCGTCGCCACGTAAAATTAGGCCTCGTCGTCAATGAGTTAAATATGCTGTTCCTAGCTGCGGCGCATTATTCTGATTATGAGTTTTTTCCGTGCGAAATTGCCATACTTTTCCATACGGTAAGGCTGCCTGTAGATGGAAATATGCCTAAAATACTAAAATTAATCAGTTTGAGTCTTCTGTTGACAAGAAACCTTATGCAGTTCATGAGCACTTAGGTGATGATGTAATGCCAGTAAGCCAAAGAGTATGCAAATTTTGCATGGAAGGAAATCGATAACTCGCTTCAGGATGACGTGCCGCAGCTAGGATCAGTTAATTGAAATCAGCGTCTAAAGCTGGTTTGGAATATATGTGTCTTATCTCAAAACGAGATTATTACGGTTAGTTTTCTGACATCCCTTGTGACAAGGCTAACAGTTGACAATGAAATGAGCAACTGATCAGGCTTTTCTCTAATTAAGCAAGCAGTAACCATAATGCGTGAAATCAATTTGGCTTTGGCCTCAATTTTTACAGTCGAGTAGATTTAGCGGTAAATATAGTGTGCTTGCACAGAAGGTGAAATGTGGTGAAATTTGCGCGTGAACAAGTAGCCACGTCAGTAGCGCGGGTATCTTACGCGCGCAATTGGCCGGCGTCACAGTCGAACTATTTCTTCACGCGCCAATTTTACCGCATTTCACCTTCTGTGCAAGCACACTATATTTACCGCTAAATCTACTCGACTGTAGATTGAATAGCAAGTTGATGCAGAAGTTCTCTCGCATCATTTCTGAATTTCATAACTTCTTGTTCTCTCAATGGATTCGCACACTTAAATTCTCTAGATAGACGAAGTCCTTTTCTTTGCGATAGTGCCTTTTCTGCTTTTTAATAAGGGATTTGCTTTTGAGATAAAAGCAGAAGAATAAAATTGCTTTAATTGTCATATTAAGTTGGCGCTATCTCGAACTTGCGAAAATTCTGAGCAAGCAATATAGTGGGCCGTAGTAAACCCCCCTTCAGGGGGTCTGCCCTAAGACGGACCTGAGTTGATCGTATGGCGCCTCGGTCTAGCATCCCGCGAGCTATTGATCTAGATGCGGATCGCTTTTCAGCATAAAAATCTTGCGCACTATCAAAGAGGAAACACCTACACCTTTTCTGCAGGTTTGGTCAAACAGGTATGTAACTGGTATTCAGCCCGCACGACAGTGGTTCGGCGCCGGACAGTGGCGTATTTTTGCACATCACTGAGCAGCCTTTGATAGCGGCCACTATCGAAGAAAATCGATGACGGCCGCTATCATGGCATCCACAAACCAAATCAATGCACAAAACAAAATACGGACCAGTAAGTCCTTTGATACACTTTCCAACATTGCAAAGATTGGTCCGTAGTAAACGTAAACCCCACTTCACTTCAGATGATCTCAACTGAGGGGCTGAGTTGAGATATTTAAGATAAACTGACTAGCGGTCACTCTCACATGCTTAAGAATGCGACCTGATCTGAAGGGTTAGCGTCAGGACATGTGCCGCGATGAATTCACCTGAAATCCGTAAGAGCAGCCTCGATTTTGAGATGAATTGGCCGAAATAGTGTGCAAGGGATGAGACGCAGAGAAAAATCCCGTAAGTTGCTCGTGAGTGACTTACGGGACATCATACTTGACGTATTGTTGCAGTACAAGAACGCGCAAATTGCACAATACCGGTGCCCAAAAAGGAAAGGATCAATGAACAGCTGATTTCGGCAAAAAACAGAAGAATAGGTTTTTTCCTTTTTGCAGAGTTTGCTTAGGTTTTTTCTACAAAAGCTACTCAGAACGACAATCTCTTTATCTATTTCCATTCGATTTTGTCCCTACTTCCTCAATTTTTGATGAAATTTTGGTTAAAAAAACGCAGTTTTGTTTTGCGCATTCATTTAGTTTGTGGATTCCTTGATAGCGGCCGTCATCGATTTTCTTCGATAGTGGCCGCTATCAAAGGCTGCTCAGTGATGCGCAAAAATACGCCACTGTCCGGCGCCGTACCACGGCCGTGCGGGATGAATACCAGTTACATACCTGTTTGACCAAACCTGCAGAAGAGGTGTAGGTGTTTCCTCTTTGATAGCGCGCAAGATTTTTATGTCTGAAAAGCGATCCGCATTTAGATCAATAGCTCGTGGGATGCTAGACCGAGGCGCCATACGATCAACTCGCTATACTATTTCTTTACATAGTCGCCTGGACTGGGCTAGGGACGACATGGTGGTTTTTGTTACTGTTGTGTTTCATATGACTAACACTTTAATGTTTTTGATTTGGAACGCCTCGAGCTTATGAATGAAATGAAATGAAATGAAACTCAGGGCAGGGTTTACTACGGGCCATTGTGTTAAAGAGGCATCTCTGTGAGGAGTCATAATTCTTGATAAAGCAACACAGTAAGGCAAATTTTCAGAAAAATGCTCATTTGACACAATATCTGCGCTGTTGGAAACTGTGGATCAAGTACTTACTACATACTGCTTGCTTGGATTATCGCAAGTTTCAAATTTTTAGCAGTCTAACCAAAATTACAAGTTGAAGTGATTTTAATGTCCTGGTATCCCTTATTAATGAGCAACAAAGCATTATCACAATGAGTAGCGTTTCCTCTTTTAGCAAACTTAGGTTTGTACAAATTCCTTGAGAGAACAAGAAATTGTTTTTTTTTAATGTTGGACAGAATTTTTGCATCAACCTAATGGAGATCTGATGGATGATATTTTTCAAAAAGTAAATGAAAATTATTCGGAACCAAAAAAAATTGATGAAATGAAATGAAGTGATAACAAGAGACAAAGTGTGCAGCTTCTAAGAGGAAGCGCTTTGTAGTTGAGCGGTAAGCGGTAAATTGCAGATCGTTTGGAAGAACTAAAAATTATTGCAGTTATAGAAGGGTTTTTTCGCAGGAATGCGATAGTAACTACAGTGCTGGACATAATTATGGAGACATTCTAGAAATCGTCGTAATTTTGGTTCTCGTCAGTGAATCTGTCTGAAAATTTGCCGTATGGTGCGCATCAGTGACGTACCGAGGGGGGCGAGGGGGGGGCGCGCCCCCCCCCCCCGAAAATGGGTCGCGAAATTTTTGAAGGGACTTACATGAGTTATAAAATGTGCAAGAGACTTATTTATACTTGTAAGTAATTAAAATAATTTTTAAAATTTTTTAAAAATTCAGTTTAGCCTTACAAAAAAATTTTTTCGGGGGCGTGGCTGACGCCACGCCCCCTTTTTCTAAAATTTTGGGGTTCTGGGCCCGCGAAAATTTTAAGGATGGTACCAAAAAATTTTTCTGGGTGCGTGGCTAACGCCACGCACCTTCTTCAGAAAAAAATTCTTGCCGCCCCCCCCCCCGAGCCGAAATCCTGGATACGCCACTGGTGCGCATGTAAGCCTACCATAACTTCTCAGAACGGCTTCCAATCCCGTTGACTTCGAACGGAGAAAAATGGGAAAATTCGAAAAAAACCTGTTTTGCAAGATGGACATAATTATAAGGACACCTGGCCTTTTTAAACATTATCGCATTCCTTGACTCCCAAATTTTTTTGTAGAGTTACATCCCAGAATATAAAACTTTTGCAGCACCTACGACCTGTCATGCTACTCAAGGAAAGATGATCCTTGCATTTTTCGTTTCCAAAGGCGTCAGAAGTCAAACTGCGTCAACAAACAGCTGGTTTGAGGAGTTTTCAAGCCCGCGTTCATTTCAAATGACAGTCCTAGAATACACTTAGCCTTTTTGATAGATAAGGTGAAGAGCGCTTTCGTAAACTCCGCGTAATTCTGATATTGACAATCAGACTCCAACCTCACCTAGGGTTGTCGCGCTTTTGCACCACAAAACTCGATTTTCAAGTTACAGAAAACGCTGCAATGTAGCCGCAACAATACACGTACAACAATAAACTTGTGTGCCTAGTCAGGAAAAAATTTCGGGATTGCACATTCTGGTTCAGCCGCAGTTGTCATCCGTTGAGAGTTGAGTCGAGCACCCTGCACAATCATATCCAACTCAAATCAAGAAATCGAACAGGAGACCGATTGAAACTTCAAAATCTTGCTAATCTCAGCTACCGCGCAAAATGCGACATGAAACGGAGAATAAAATAGTGAGATTTGTGATTATGTTGAATCCACTGCTCGCATAGAATTTTCGTTGAAAGTATTTTAGATCTAAATGGCAGCTGCAGCACTAAAAAAATCTAAAAGTTGTTGCAAAAGATGCATCTCCATGTAGAAATGTAATAAATCGAGTCCATCACTTCACGAACATTGGAAAGTGAGTTTTGTGGTGCAAAAGCGCGACAACCCTTGGTGAGGTTGGAGTCTGATTGTCAATATCAGCGATTACGCGGAGTTTACGAAAGCGCTCTTCACCTTATCTATCAAAAAGGCTAAGTGTATTCCAGAACTGTCATTTGAAATGAACGCGGTCTGAAAATTCCTCGAACCAGCTGTTTGTTGACGCAGTTTGACTTCTGATGCCTTTGGAAACGAAAAATGCAAGGATCATCTTACCTTGAGTAGCATGACAGGTCCTAGGTGCTGCAAAAATATCATATTCTGGTTCTGGGATGTAAATCCACAAAAAAATTTGGGAGTCAAGGAATGCGATAATGTTTAAAAAGGCCAGGTGTCCTTATAATTGTGTCCAACTTGCAAAACAGGCTTTTTCGAATTTTTTCATATTTCTCCGTTCGAAGTCAACGGGATTGGAAGCCGTTCTGAGGAGTTATGGTAGGCTTACATGCGCACCATACAGCAAAGTTTTATACAGATTCACTGACAAGAACGAAAATTACGACGATTTTTAGAGTGTCTCTATAATTATGTCCAACACTGTATAAATAACTTGTTCCGACAACCCTGTTCCTGCGTAAGTCATAGCAAGAACTTAATTATTAACAGCATTATATGATTTAAATGTGTTTAAATCCAGTAACAATGGACTTACTGGAACTGTAGTGTCTACTTTTGGCGAAAATGTGAGATTCACGTAGGCTTGCCTACAGTCGAGATATCCATGAGAAGTTTGCTCATCTTGCTCCATTAAAGGGTACTCATAGCTGGAACTTCGTTATTTTGGGCTTGTGCTTTTGAACCTACCAAGAACCTAGCAGTAATAAATAGTCGCTTGGTTTCTGCTACCGTGTACTAAAATAATGGAAACCTGCAAAGAATCCAAAGGCTCGATGTGCACATTTCTGAGCTGCGCATTTTCTTAACTCAACTATCAAAAACGAATCGCTACATTAAAATCTGAGATTTACCGAATGAAAGGAGCAAATGTCATCTGCCAACTTTTTCAACCTACAGACAAGTGCACCATTCGATCTTATATATCGTCGAGTCATTCGTAACTTAATATGCGTAGTGCACATTATACACGCTAAGTGACGAACTGCAAAACCAGAACCTATTCATTTCCAGTAATTTTTTTTGTTTCTTTGTCCGCTTCGTTTTTGTTGGTTATACGTTAGTCAACAGAACTTATTTCTACACTTTGTTAGGTTAAAAAATGTTTCACTGAAAGGTTACGGTAAGGGTGTCGTCGCTAAGAGTGCTAAGTGTGCAGTCTCATACATTAAGTTGCAAATGACTCGAGGTTATAAAGAATGATAATAATTCAAATAAAATTACCCGATTGATACAAGTGCATCAACCCATATTTCGAGGTGCAGATAGTCCTTTTTTGTGAAGTAATTTCGGTACCTGAAGTATTTGAAAAAACAAGTCTTATTGCCCAGATTATCTTTTTATAGATACCTAAAGTCTTTGCCCAAAGCAAGTAAGCATTCAGTCATTACTGTGTATTTGCATCGCCACTGAATCATAAAATCCACAAAGCTGTTGAAATCGAAATTAAATGTGCTGAAATTTCTGTTGTCAAGTTAAATAAAAAGAAAAGAACTTGGAAAATGTATTATAAGAAGAGCAAGTATTACCATTTCACTGTTCATAGCATGTTTGGAGCACTTGCGGTAATCTACAAATGAATGAAGTATAAAGGCGCAATTTTACCAACGTGGTCATTTAATAGATACCGTAATCACAGCATATCACACTGTGCTGTTTTTGTAATTTTTAGCATAACTTTTCTGGTTTTTTAAAGTATCGAAAACCCAGATATAAACTTACATTAGTAGTTTTTTCCTGCCTCTCTTACAAGCAAATGTGTTTATCTGTCCACCTATCTCAAAGCTGTGACAAGCCTTAATTAGCCTTAAGGCTTAAGAATAAATATGGACAAAAATTTTTTTCAAGAAACACTGAAGAAAGAGGCAGCAGACAAGCATCAACCACTGAGCTCGAAAAGAAAATTCAAATGTTTTTGATTCTTATATTTCTTTTTGGAGTGTTTATATTTTCAAGTTATTTTTATTTCCTAAATTTAGTTATTTTTTACTCAGTATCTATTGTATTGCAAAGTTTCTAAAATTTTTGACGTACTTCCTTGAAACACCAGATCTCAATAACTTTTCCTTTTCTGTTTCTATCTCTGTAATCAGAGTAACAGAATGTAAGCAAAGCGTCGTTAATAAGTGCATGATTTACCACTGCATTTCGTAATAATATTAAGCAAACAAGAACATCGTGACGAGATGAAGTTCAAATAATGCGACAGAACTTTTGGATTAACCTGATATTTGATTGCTTCAATTTTTATGAAATTCGCAAACACCCAAAGTGAAGTGTGTTTATCGACTATATGCAAACGCTCAATAATAACCCCGGCTTTGCTGGGCTCTCTACCGTCCAAATGCAAATTTCACTCTTCATGCTCATCACCAAAACGAAAAGTAGCTCACGACTTCCTGGCCACGACATGTCCAAAGTTTAGTCCGGATAGAATACAAAAATGGAATTTAGGGACTTTACTATAAATACACATGTGAAGACGTACAGACAAACAGACATTGAGTTTTGCAATCAGATGAAATAACAAAACTCGCCTTTCGACACTCTCTTCTGTTCCTTGATTTTGCTGCAAGTTACAGCGAATTGGGTAAACTGCGCTAGCATATCCAAGAATGTGCATAAGTTTTTGTACGAAGAAGGATCGAATGAGTATGGACCTTCTATGATTATGTATGAGTATCACAGAGGATAGAGGAAGGCATTCACCTGTTTTTAAGCGTTGGGAAGAACAATGCAAAGAAGGCATTTTTATGAAAAAGAGTGTTGAGTGTGTCCCAGGGTGCGAAGGCGCCTAAAAATCACCCTTTTGCTTTCTTGGGTGCCTTGTTTGAAATTATTTTTGTTTTTACACAATCCTTGCTGGGACAGGGTCGCTTAGTGCTTATTTCTTACAGAAAAAAAATCCAAATCTCTGAGCAGGTTCCAGTTGATTACTGATTTTCTTCGAACTTCTAAAGCTGCCCCAGGTTGCTATTTGCCCATGTTTGAGATATATGCAAAAAGAATTTCAGCGTTTCTGAGGGGGGGGGGAGGAGCTTTTCTAACTTTCGAAAACCTGCTCGTCCTTTCTATACGGTAACATATTTTTTAGTAAACAATGCTTCTTTTCACACATATTCTCAGACTTAAACGCAAATTAAGTGTGCGAGCCACGATAGGCCTTGGTAGTCCAGATATATGACACGGTTGGAGCCTTAGCTTGAATACTGTATTTTAAATTAGAAATGTCTCTTTGCACTGCTTCGTTCATCTCCTTCACCACATTTCACTGATTGGTACATGTCGAAAGAAGAACGATGTCGTACACAGAAGGTATCGCTCTTGTACTACTTCAATGTAAAATAAGGAATTCACTTTACAACTACTTTGGGTCCCTAGTAATGACTCGTGAGATGTGTTCTTTCCATATGGAAAAGATACGCTTGTTAAACTGTCTTCGACTAGCTTATACTAAACAAAGTGACACAGCGACAGCTGTAAAATACTTTTTTGAAACAGGTTACGCCATCATGCCTTCAAATGCTCTGACATTTTCTAAAGGTGCCACTTTACCTATCAAAGCGATAGAAGGTGAAAATTTGCTAAATCCCTTTGAGTGAAGCAAGTCTGCAAGTCCAGTACTGTCAGGATGGATAAGGCCGTGTTGAACGAGGGGGGTTCGCATTAAACGACAAGACCGCATGCAGTGATAACACACATTGAGTCTCTAAAAATCTTTAAAAAAATTAGGAAACTGTTTAAGCAAGAATACTACCTGACATCCTTGCTCCGAAAAATTTTTCAAGCAAAGATTGGGGTTACCATAAAATGCGTATGGATTGAAAAGTTTCCTGCAAAAAAAACAGTTGGAAGTGCACTTGACTTGATGTAGTAAATGCCTTCAAAACCTTTCAAAACAGCAGCCTCCATTACCGTATGTTAAACCGCTGATGTATTCGGTATAGTCGAAAAGAGATATCGATGCATCTGTCAACAATATCTTGTGGATTTCAGCTATTCACTTTCAACAATTCATATTTGAGATATTCTATATTAATTATTATAAATTAATACTTCTATATATTTTTCTTTTATATAAATATTTGAAATACTTTCAAATATGGTTCTTAGATCAGAAGAGTCGGCGCTGTTGGTGTCTCGGATTCGCGACTTCCTTCAAAGGAGGCCGCCGCCGCGCTGCGAAGGGGTCCCGAAACGCTGTCCTCGCGCTGCTCCCGCCTTCCCATCGCTACCGCCGCAGCTTTCAAATCAGTCGTTACCTGGTGAGCGGTTGGGTCCCAGTTTCGTCTTCACACGTGTCGATCGATGCAGCGCCGTCCCCAATTCACGCGTCTTCACATCCAACACGCCACAGAGGACAGGCCACCCCGCAGACGAGGTAACTCCGTGCGTGCTCGCGCCTGGCATACGCCGGCGACACCGCCGCGGGGGGTTTCCGATATTGTCGGCCCCTAGGTTAAGATCTGGCTAATTGTACTCATCCCCTGTGTTTGAGTTTAGGGAATAGTTGTGGATAAATGGTGGGCATTTTACATGTGCGATTTGTTTGGAGCGGTGGGCCACAGCTCGGCTGTGGCTCCGGGTATATTTGTGTCATCTATATTCACGTGTGTTTCATAATCAAGCCTAGTGGGTGAGATCAGTCGGAAGGCTGGCACAATACTAATTAAGTGCCACGGTTATGTGTACACGCCCCAACTTTTGATGGTTGGAGACATGAGTCGAGTCACAAGTGACGGGTCGCTGCTAAGCTGGTGGCAAGGACCCCTACGTGTGTATGGAGTACCCATGTGGCAGGCACAAGCAGCGTTTACACAGGTAGCCTCACATGATACGCTTCACTCTTTCACGGAGCGGACCCCTGGCTCCCCTCGCCGATGCAGGAGAGCCGTTGTACCACTGGCGTTGGGAGCTGGGGGGGCCCAATCCGCGACATTTGGTCGCTGGAGCCGTACTTAACCAACATTCAGATATCAAGAAATTCATTCATATATTGAATTCGTCCAGCCGGTTAGATGCAACTGTAGCAGATGAAGTCGGGTCGACTTTCTGCATACACCAAAAGCATGAAATCTAATGTCTGGGTATGTTGTATGGAGAGCTATGTTCGAAGTGGTATATCATTACTTTGCAATCACGTTCTTTTTTCAAAAGCCGAAGCTTATCATGTGATGATAAAAACAGTGCAACACCCGTATCAAAAAATCAAACCAAAACCTAAGGATTCAAAAGAGTCCACGCGATTGATCGTCGCGATTTAATCGCTGCAAGACAACTGTTACGAGTTCATTGCATGCCGATCAGCTTGCACTTCGGTTGTGATACTTTTCCAGCTCGAAATTTTTGAATGTAAAATGAAAATGAATGAAAATCGCGGCGATTAAATCGCGACGACAAATCGCGTGAATTCTGTCCGAGGCCTAAGGAAGCTCTTATCAATTCATACGGTACGGACGCAGTTCAAAGAAGAGGTTTTCCACAATGGAAAGCAGCAAGTTGCTCTTTGAAATCATATCACTGTGACATTGACAATCATTGCCCAATAATCCGTTGCCTTCGACTATGGTGTCTCAGATGAGTTTTGAGGACTTAGCGGACACCCATGGAAAGTCTGACTATGAGTTTAGAAATAGGTACAATAGAACTCTTTACGCAGGGTCAGACTTACCGAAGTATGAAAAGCCCATTATGCTCGCCTGTCTCATGCACAACTTCGATTTGTAGGACAACATGGTCTCGTTCAAGACCAAATCTATCATTAGAGCCTCAAGACATCAATACGCTCTTACCCCACAAGTCAATCTTAATTGAAATAAACATCATCGACAGCTTACTGTTTCATTGAGAAATCAACATTATTATTTCACAAAGAGACCTCATTATGTACGCAAATGGAGCTGAACAAGGCAATATTATGTCGACGATTCAGTTTCGTCCTCGCAAACGGATCGTTTTGGGAAAGTGTGTCTTCAATAGCACCCTTCCGCGTAAGTGATGACATCAAAGCAGGATAAACAAGCGTCATCATCATAGTGCTGTCAAAAGACAGACCAAGGACAAATTAGAAGGAACCCGATCTATCAGGCTGTAAAGAAAGTTCCCGGGCACTTTTGAAAATTTCATTTTCAAACGCATTTTTTACGGCGCTCGGTCGGACTTTGACACCAAGTTTTATAAACTGTTCAGTAGAGGAAAGCCTAAAGTTTTCAATACAACTTGTGATTTTTATCGATGCCAAGGCGTGTTTGATTTGCACATCAAGAAGTAAAATCTTTCCAATCATAAAAATTTCACATTTTTTCTTCCTACGCCATTTTTCTGTGCAATTCAAAGAATTTTGTCCAAATCATGGCTGATCTAATTGAGAAACCTGTTAGCTTCTGACCCGCAACTGCACTCGAGTTTTGATCTGTGCGCTTAGGGATCTCAAGCTGTCGAACTTGTGTCGGTCCAAAAGAGGTGTAAGGCATTGCCCAAACAATGTTTGCAGTAATCAAAGATTTAGTCCACCCTATATAGAACGATAAGACTTGACAGTCATTTACTCGAAAAATGGTGCATTTTTGGGGGCAAAAAAAAGATCAAATTATCAAACTTTTTGGAAAAACTTTTTTTGCATGTCGCTCAAAGGCTTAAATAGTCTCCATAACAGCCCCAGCAGACTTCTACATGGCTACAACATTCGAGCTCTCCAGCTTTCATCGTGGCTGAGATATTCCTGCACAAATAGGCCATTCGCGACGGCCTTTTTCCTTCCGCGCATGCTGGTGGACCGCGGTGAGCTGCTGAAAAGCCAGCAAAGTAAATATGTGTTGTGGACAAAATTGTCCCTGTAGTGAAGTTTGTAGCTTTAGAAAAAAATCAATCTGCTTAGAGTTACAGCGATTTGAAAAAAATTCCGCAAGGCCCGAGAACTTTCTTTACGACCTAATATAATACATAGGGGTGGGGAAAGAGAATGTAATTCTTTCATGAGAGATTGTCATATGGCAAATAAACAAAATTATTAGGCCAAATACGTGCTGCCCCTCAAAGGCAGTGTCCTGGCAGATTTTGCATTTCTATTTTTCGGCATTCTGGGCCTCCTCGTAGTAAAACCCGAATCCGAGCTTCATATTGGGCGCAGGGGGCGTTATCAGGGCGTTTGCACACTCACCAAAAAGAGAGCTCGGAAGAGATTTGACATGCAAAGTCGGGAGGTATTCGCACGAAAATCTGCCGCTTGCAAGCACTGAATGAGAGCACAGTGCAGGAGCGGTTATAGTGGTCTTGCACGGAAGTTGCGTGCGCCTTTCCAGGGCAGTTTTTGCGCAGAGGTAGAATCACGCAACCGGGTAGGGCCCGAAGGTGAGTGGGGTAACGCGGATCCTACCACACCTATATATATCGCGTTAGAGTCGAATGTGCCGGAACATTTCCTCTTAGGAAGCAGTAAACAAAAGCTGTAACGAATTGAATGCTCAGTGGACGTCACACGTGGAAAAGGATGACAGCCGACAAGATGATCATGAGTGTTCATAAGATATGTCAATGGAGTATCGAGAATTTTTTGAGTTCCTGTTGCAGCGGTACCAAGCCGTCGGTCAACAGTCGTTCGCTTAAAGGCAGTATTCAGGCTAAACCTAACCACCTCCGATTAGTGTCGATCCTGAATGTAGGCCCCAGAAAAGGGGCATCTGCTTGGTCCGTCTTCTGACGTTGTCTCTGAATGGAAGTAAAGGGCCTGAACGTCCTTGGCTGGGCCGTGTCTGATTCCAGACTCCGCCCAGCCAGAGACCAACTTAGTGCGACTCACAAGGGAAGGAAGGTTAGTCGAAGTGGCCGTTTGAAATGATGTGTATACTGCCTCGTAGAGCTTGGAACGCTGATTCCAAATCTACCTTTGCTATCTGCTGCAGGCTTCTGGGCGCGGAGTTATGAAAGTTTTTGTGGGTAAAAATCTGAATGCAAAAATAGGGTAAAATCGGTCGTAACCTTTTCCCAATGTTCAAATGAGGCAGCAGCGAATTGGTATATTTGAATCAAGGATGTTGCACCGAGTGACCTGACTATCAATTAAGCCCGATAAAAAATGTTACGACTGATTTTAGCCTATTCTTGCATTCAGATTTTTATTCACAAAAGCCTTCATAACTTCTCGCCTAGAAGCCCGCAGCAGATAGCAAAGGTAGATTTGGAATCAGCGTTTCATGCTCTACAAGGCAGTATACATTTCGTTTCAAAAGGCCACTTCGACCAACCTTCCTTTCGTCAGTCCAGGTTTGGAAAGAAAAAATAAATGGAGCGCTGTTTTGACATTTTCCAAGTCTCAGATAGGAGCAGTAAAGATAAGAACGGATATTACACTAAGAAATCACTTCTAAAACATACATCACTTAATAGTTCTTATAAAAGAAAAAAGGGTTTGTTTCGGCGTTCACAAATTGTTAACCCAAAATAGCTTGGGAACGTAAATCGCATCAACACAACGGAAATTATCAAAAGCAATATAGAGTTAACGTTATTGCATCAAAAGAATTCCAGATGAAGTCTTCAATAATTACCAGTACGTACCTGATGGAGTTATGCCATTGCCGATATCGTAAATCCAGTTGGCCCCATTTCTGATTGCATACATGTAGCCAAAACTCCTTCCTATCAACTTCTGTTAATCATGGCAAAATTTTTGCTCATGGAATAAATCTTCTGTAAACTTTCCGAATACCATCTTCTTCTCTTTCGCTCCTCACATAGTGCACATTCTCTTTTGCAAGCGTGCAATTCTCATGTGCTTTCGTGACTACAACGAGACGCCAGCCATCAAAACGTGACATATGCTGAAGTAATTTGCACTTTCAATGCGTATGTTACTTTCCGGTCGTAAAATATCAAATGAAAAAAGTTGAGTATCAATAAGGATTTTGATCAATTCAATAGTGTTAAGCTGACGTATAAAGGTCTGTCTCTTTGGTTTTTTGTTGGCCTGATGTACGTTTCAAATGGAAAATTTCATTTCTTCATTTCTATACCGATTAAACATTCTACACATACACGCGGCTCTGGGCATATGTTACCGACCATTATCGATCGACATCAATTTTATCAATTTGTGCAAACTTTGAGCACAGGGCTGAGTCTTGGCAGAGGGAAGCTAGTGAGCATGCTAGTTAGTAATGAGGTAATGAATGAGATAAGAATGTGATACTTACCTCTTTTACAAATGTTATCGACTCGCAAAGTTTTGAACTATGTGCTGAGAGCTGGCACAAGGGATTAATCAAGCTTGAGTCAGGACTAATTAAGCCGGTCAGTGTTAGAGAGAGAACTGTTGTGTAGAGTAAACGGAAGTCAGTTATACCTTATACCATATTATGTTGATAAGGACCGAGCAAAACTAATTCATGATCACAGAAGAATCAACAAGGGACGGGGGCACAAAGTGCAGCGAGAAGTTTTGCTGCCTTTGCGACGTCGCGCACCGCCCACCTCGTTGCGAATCTGCCCGCGCTGCACAAAAATGCACCTTATACTCCGGAAAATAGGGTGTTTGTTCCTAAATTGCTTTTAGTCGAAGTGGCGTTTTTGAATAAGCTATGTACGTTTTCGCCCTGGAACAAACGCTAATTTAAAATTTGTATACAGTTTCTGTTTCGACCGCTGGAAATGAGTGTTTCTGACTTGAAAAACGAACGCGTGAACTAAATAAAAGGCCTTTTAACGCCCAAGTACAGCAGTGGTGAGTATGAGTAAAAAGACAGAAATTATCCATTGCATAAAGTGTTCCTGATTCGCATTACTAGCTTCTCTCAGCAAATTTGAACTCTTTTAATCTACTTGCAATTTCATTTTCTTCAACCAAAAAGCCGTTCAAAACTCAGCGTCCAGAGGCGCACAATAGCTGACGGAGGCAGATTTGGAACCGGGTACAATGCTATTTAAAACATTTTAGATTTCATATCGAAAGGAATCTTTGAGTATTTTGCACGAACAGATGATACAAACAGCGAAAAACGAGTTTTGATCATTACTTAATATCTTCCTTAATACATTGACGATGCGGATTTTTAGTTGTGTGCAATTTGGGACCGAGACCTCTCATGGACTAATCAACATTCTTTAGATTGAACCAAGCATGCTGCCTCTACTATAACCACAGTAGCTAAAAGGTGAACGTTGTTTCTATGTAAGTGCAAAGGAAAACATTTAAAGTAAGTTTGATCCACAGTAATAGTCATTCTAAAAAGATACAAGCCTTGACACACACTAGTGTCAAACGGTCGCAATGTGTTAACAAAAGGTTAATGCTGGCTTACCTCGATCTGTTCAGGTGAGTATTCGTTCTCCATAAGGACAATCCATTTTGAAGCATTTGAAGGGCTAAGAAGATTGTCGCTGAAGTTGAAGAAGGTAGAGGATGAAAAGCAACACAGTCTATTTTTTTGTTTTTACTACCTTTCAAATTCATCAATCAGTACAGATAAAAGAACAAACGGTCAAGGTGAGTTGAAAACGAAAAATAATGAAGGATAAGATTGCCTACCGCAACCTCCAGTAAATGCTATTTTTCTCTTGAAACTCTGGCAGCTCCAAAGGTTTGCTTTCGAAAAATGGTGATATTTTGCGGACTGGTGCATGCATGCGAATATGAGACAACAGATATTCCGTAATAATAAGCGCTAATACAGTTAATATCAATAGTAGGAAGATTTTAGACTTGTTGATTATCATTTTCGGAGCTACCTGAAGAAAATGTGTCTTATTATTTTCTTCAAATACGTTCTGTTCAAGGCGTATTCTTTCTGTAAATGGCGAAGATCTTGACTTTCTTCCGTTGTGGCCAAGATTCGTTATCCAAATCTTCAAAGTCGGGTAGGAAGAAAGAAAAGACACAGAAAAACTCGCAAGTCGATACAGATTACTATCACATTTCGACAATCATAAGGAAATAGTTCCTAGAGAACTAGCAATTTAGAAATAACGAGCTATCTATAGTTTTTTATTGAATTCAATTTGATTAGGCATTCAGAGTATAAATCGCCCCACTATTGAATTTATCGCAAATGAGTGTCTGTAGTCAAAAGTCTTCATCAAAACGACTTCGCTATTTATGTTCGAGTATTTAAATTATCTGTAAGATGTTTGTAAGATGTTCAATTTGTTTTGTGGTTTGAGTACTGGAGCGGAAAAAATATTTGAGTTATTATCTACTCAAAAATGCGAAAAACGCACGTTCAGATATTGGGCTGTTAACTAACTTTTGCATTGGTGCCGTAATAGTTCGCTTTTTGCTCTTGGCGCGCTCTTTTTCTACAATAGAAAGAGTGGAGCATGAGTTACAGACTGGGACAAAATGCTTGCTTTTTAGTGCCAAAATAAAAAAATACAGGCATTTTTTAGCCCTTGAAATTCGAGAATTCAAGGGGTTTTGAGCTGAAAATAAGCAGTTCACAACTTAGACATGCGCAACGCTCTGAAACTGCGCATGAATCGTTGTCAGAAATTGTCTTGTTCAATGTTCAAATTCAATGACTAGGAAATCAAAATCTCGGAATTCTACGAAACTTTGCATAGTGAGGTTATTTGACCTGCCGATCACAAATATCATAATCAGTTTTTCAAATTGAAGAGATGAAAAGCGAGAAAAATGTTGAAAACCCTTTCAGATGCTATTGTAAAGTACACGATTCTCTAGGCCAATGGCTGGAAAGTTTGGGAAAATGCCCAAAGGTTACGATATTTGTTACGTTACGTTTGCGAAACGGCGAGCGGTCCAAGTGAGGCGGTTCGAGAGAACCGAGCAGCGCGAGGACGGTACTCAGGATGGGATCGCCCTGTATGTCGCTGCTGAAAGATTTTAGAATAAATACTGTCGTTGGTTCTACGCGTACAAATACTATTTTAACTTTTCAGTAGACTGAAGAGAGAGTTGGTAGTCAGGCGAGATATGTTCGATGCACACCACAGCGCAAGCTTGAGCAATTTGAACAAGTAATTGGGTCAATTTCATCGCTGAATGGAGTGCAAATTATGATTGAATTGGAAAAGTGCATGAAAAGGTGAAGAAAAGAGAAAATATGACTCTGTCCTGATCTCGTGTCACCAAGGGGCGCAACAACCTTCCGGAACTGGAAACGCTTGCAGTTCCTTTGATTGAAGCAGATGTTTTATATAATGAGTGATTTCACACTGTCTTTTCTTCTTTTCCTTTTGATCATTGTGCAACGTTACACAACAAAAACGGCTCAAGGTTACCGAAGAGATTGCATCGTAAATTATTGCCAACTGCTAATTAGCGAGATAAAATTGAAGTTTAATTCGGACTGCTAAGAATCAGGGCTGCGCTGGCAAATAAGTCTACAGGTTTTTTCTGAGAATCAGCGAATCTTATGGGTGCACTTTTGCTTTATTCAGAAAAGGCGTACGCATGAAACCGCCGGCGGGGTTTTTTTTACAACGAAAGCACCTGCTTTGCTGAGCAGGGAATGGTCAGAAATTAACCCAGCCATATCAAACATGCTGTATATCGTCGGACTCGTTATGAAACGCTGATCTCAAATATGATCAATGTCTGCCAGGCCACTATCTGGAAGGAGTTATGAGCGTTTAAATGTGCGATTTGTCAATTCCGTGGCGCATAATCCACGAAATAGGTTTCAAAAACATTATTCGGGTTCTTGGTGAACTTGCCCTTTCCTTGTAATTAAAATAACCATAGCCGCTGTAAATCCGCGCCGTCAGGCTGCCTTACAAGTAAATACATTCGTCGAAACTTTGAAAATTTCTCAGATTTGAATGCTCATAACTCCTCCCAGATAGTCGCTTGGCAGACAAAAAACATATATTTGAAACCAGCGTTTCAAAAAGAGGCTAATGATATACAGCTTGTTTAGAATGGCTAGATTGAGTTCTGACCATTTTAGTGAGCATTTTACAAGAGAATGAAGTAACAGAACAGAAAAATTGCGTTTTGCTTGACCGCATCAATACAGCGCGTCAAATATTCCTCTTTGAATCGTAAGACTAGCCAATGCCTTCAAACTAATAATGTGTTCCGCTGTAATGAAAGAGTCAGCCTACTCAGCTCTGATGGGATTCAAAAAACTAATTTTGCAATTTAGATGGACTGCGCTTCAAAGGCTCCAGCAACACCGAAAAATTCCGTCTTTTGTCTTTTTCGTGCTAAAAAGTTATTGCAAAAATCTTCTCAAAAAGCAACAAAGTTTGTAAACAGCCTCTCTTGGACTAAGAAGAAATTTCAAAAATTGTCTTAGTTCGACGATAACCAGAAAGAGGTCTACTCGTTTAGACGTTTCATTACGCATAGGTCAAGATCTATTGTAAACATTTAGATAAAGCTGTACATAAAAGCTTTATTTCTTGACAAGCAATGAAAGAAGCGTCAAAGCAATCCTATGATGCTGAAACTATGTAGTAAACAAAGCGACACTATTTGGAATCAGCAACACTACAAATTGAGTTCGAGAATCTTGAAAAATCTGTAAATTGCTCACGGCCTGCGTTACTGCAAACACATTAATCTCTTTTTTCCCATTCAGTATTGCAAGATTATACTTTTGAAAATCTAATACTTTTTGTCGCCACCACTAGCATGTCGAGTTATCTACCAGAAATCTCTACAATATCTTATATTTTGTTGACCTTAATATACTCAAATTTAGATTATTGCCAACCCGGCAGAGGGTGACCATCTACTTTCTAGGAAAAATCAACTAAGGCCCGTATGCACGTACATCCCCGCGGGGAGGGGAGGGGATCTGAGAGGGGAAGTGCCATATCTCGCTAGTCTACATATCTTTCTTCTTCTTTCTCTATCTTGCTTTTGAAGCTTCTCATACACTGATACTTGCGCATAACGGATGCCAGGTTATTGCCATACAAGATTAGATATTCTGTATTTCTTCTAATCCCCTGGGGATCCCCAGGGGATCACCTCACATTTTCAAAGTCATTTATCTTCCTGAAAACTGAATGAAAACGCTGCAGAACTGTACAGAAGATATACTACGATGCTGCTGAACATGTTTTCGACAGAAGAAATGGAATCTGAAGATTTTGATTTTTTCGATGATCCCTGGCTCGCGAGCAGCGGTTCATCGAAGATTTTGATATCTTGAGATTTCACTCATTTCTACCATAAACATGTTTAGCAGCGCTGTAGTATATCCTCAGTACAATTTTAGAGAATTTTCATTGATTTTCAAAAAGATAAATGACTTTGAAAATGTGAGGTGATCCCCTGGGCATCCCCAGGGGATCAGAAGAAATACTAAATATCTAATCTTGTATGGCAGTAACCTGGCATCCGTTATGCGCAGGTATCAGTGTATGAGAAGCTTCGAAAGCAAGATAGAGAAAGAAGAAGAAAGATATATAGACTAGCGAGATATGGCACTTCCCCTCTCAGATCCCCTCCCCTCCCCGCGGGGGTGTACGTGCATACGGGCCTGAAATGCTATTTCATTAGCACTAGGGCCAAAGCGAGGGCTCGCTGACAATGAGGGAAAAGGTCTTCCATAGTATGCGACTGGTGCCAAAGAGAGAGTGGGAGTGGGGGGGGGGGGGAAAATGAGTATCACCTGCTCCCGGACGGACCCTCATTCTTTCCGCATTGTTTTGCGTATCGTGTGAAGAGCAATCCGCGGACAAGGAATTTGTTCCTCTCTCTGACTAAATTGGCCTGCGCTATGCTATTGCAGAGATTGTACAAAGCAGGCAGCGTAAGCTAAACTTATATATATTTTGCATTTGCTCGGATGTAGTACTGAAGTTTCAGAAAAATGAAAGTATTGCTGAAGGTCCTAATTTACGTCTGATAAAGATAACGTCTAGCAATTCTAGATAGCTAGAGAGTACGAAAAGTAATGCTTTAGGAGGTTCAACAAGTTTTCAGTGTTTGATGTCTGCAAATGGTCAGCCCGTCATAGACAGAAAAAGTGAATTAGCTGGAGTTCCATCGACGCTCGAGGCAATGCCGCTATCGACTTTCAAAAGGCGGTAATCATTGCAATCATTTCACAACTTCTCAAAGCGACGAAATCGCACATTTTTTACAAGATACTAAAATACCGATGCTTGGATATGGAGGTTGCTGTCACAAGCGTTACCTGCAAAAAAATGTACAATTCTGGTTCATAAAATGGGAACTGAAATGAGGAAGCATCCTTGAGAAAGTGCACGCCTTGATATGCCCGCGCAATTTAATAAAATGTTGACCTCAGCTATAAACCTGAATTTTTGCATTCAATGCCTTGCAAGTAACAAAGCATTTCATTTGCTTGAAGGAAAATTTCAGTTGGAGTTTATGGTCTGAAAAAGATATTATGCGTAATTCAATGGGACTGAATAGGGAAGGACCACTAGTCGAAGTGGGCTTTTCAAATGATAAGCACATAGTTCTGGAGGGCATCGAACGTTTTATTTCATATTTGTCCTCTCTACCTGAACGCCTCTGGGCAACGAGTCATGGAAATTCTTCTGGAGAATTGGAAGGCGAAGGAAGGATGGCTCAAATGGAGCAGTAATGTCTGTTAGACTATTCCGTGCAAAGAATAATTTATGTCTAATTCAGTTATCCTAAAACAGTTCTATCTGCGAAATGCATAGTCTGTAAAAATCGA